TTAAAATCGTAATTTTGGCTCATGACATATATGTTACGTCACTAGACATCATCAGTGTTTGTTAATTAGTACTTTAGAGGGTTACTTTGGATATTGCATACTGGGGATGAATCAAAAAGGAAATTCTTTTCTTTTTGTACAAAGAAAAAGTCAAATGCATCTTTTATACCCTTTGCAATAGGTCAAGATCGGTGTCACAAAAGGCTTTATCTCATCATTCCACATCATGGACCATTTCATATACAAAGTGCTCTTGAATAGAGCACCCAGTGATGTCAAGTGTGCATAACCATCTGAAATGGCCACCACCATAAACCCATATTCTATGGTGATTGGTGATGATGGAAACTTCAATAACAAGATCTGCAACATGTTGGCGCTGCTAGTTTCTGAACTTTTCTGGTTTTCAAAGATTATTTCTGGGTAAAACAATAGGTCACAGACACTAGGCTTGAGTTTTGTTTTTTTCCTGCTAACTTTTTCTCTTGGCCAGGTGTTTCTGTTAATTACTTACGGTACAATGTTATCTCCTAAGTCAAATCTGTTTATTAACTTTAAAGAACTTCTGTCTTGGAGGTAACTGATATATAGTTAAGAACCCATTATAAACCTTGATTGTCACGTCAGATCTGTACCAAAAAGTTTCTTAATTTACAAGCTAAGCTTTGGTTTAACCAATCAATCATTGTGTTCTAACATCATATCTCTATCTCACAGGATTGAGCCAAGGTACCAAGAAATGCTAAGTAGGGACATAGCAGAAACTTCAAAAGATGGAATCAAAGTGAGAGTAATAGCAGGGGAAGCCTTAGGAATAAAGTCTCCTATCCAAACATGGACTCCAACAATGTACTTGGACTTCACTGTCAAACCAGGATCCCACCTGCAACAACCCATACCAGAGTCTTGGAATGCCTTTGTTTATGTGTTGGAAGGAGAGGGCGTGTTTGGTAGCCCTAAATCTCAGCCTGTGACCGCCCATCACATTCTTCTTCTTGGTTCTTCTGGGGATGGCTTGGAGGCTTGGAATAAGTCCAGCAGTAAGGTGGTTCGGTTCATTCTGGTTGGGGGTGAACCGTTGGGTGAGCCTCTGGTCCAGTTTGGACCGTTTGTGATGAACACTCAAGAGGAGATTGATCAAACTGTGAGTGATTTTGAGAACTGTGTTAATGGGTTTGAGAAAGCTAGACAATGGAGATCTGAAGCTGCAATTGGTCTTGATTTATAGTGTTGTTTTTTGTTGGTTTCATTTGGAAATTAGTTTATTTATAGAGAAAAAAATGATATGGAAATAAGTGGTGTGACCTCTTTCACTGGAAATTGCAGAAAGCTTAGGGCCTGCTTCCTTGGTTTAAAAATTACCTGTCAACAAATTTGACTTGTTGACCCCTGTTATCAATACAAGTATACTATTTTTACAGGTCAAAATAATGTGGCTAAAATGTTTTGAACTTTGAAGGCTAATATGGATCTTTTTATTAAAGGCAGATCAAGTAAAATTCTTTTTTCTTTAAGTTTTTATTTTCACATTACATTTATCAGCACCGACATTCAGTACATAAAATCCACTATAAACTTTTATATATGCATATAAATTTAATTCATTGAAAACTTAATTAAATAACATCACGATTCATCTAGTAGTATAGCTCTATTGATTTTATATTTTGTCATTCTCATGTTAATTAGAATTGTTCGTACTTTCAAAGGAAATGAATACTTATTAGTAAAATAGGAATGATTAATTTGTCTCCAACTAAGACTAAACATTTATTTTAAGATTATTTTAAATATGAGTTTAAAAGTTTGAATTCTTAGTAGATATGAGATAGATGTGTAAGTTATGACAAAAAAATTGGAAAAAATTACAAATAAAGACCATTCAATATATAAAATAGCGATTAGGAATCTTGAATTTGGAAAATAGCTTCAAAGGACCCGATCTCAAATTGCAAATATGAAATAATGGTGGAATGTTCAAAATGCCCTTCTATTTTTTCTCTTTTTCCCTCTCTAGATCTTCTTCCCTTTCATTCTTCTTTTTCTCTCTCTCTTCGTTCTTCTCTTTCCTAGTAGGAAGGAATTATTCTCATCTTCTGCATCGGATGCTCTTCATATATTGTAGCTTGAGATGAAAACGTATCATCTTTTGATTCACTCTTCCTTGACCCCATGCCTAAAGAGGGGGATTCGAATATTGTCTTCTTTGTTCTGTTCTTCCCCTGATTTATTGATTGGTTTGTAAGTAGAGAATGAAGCTAAACACAGAGGGTTCTCTTTTAATATTCTTTAGTTTGTTCTTTGAGTTTATGTTCTCTTTATTCGTAAATGATTGGCAATGTGCAAGTTCAATGATAAGCTTTATTTTGTTGGGAAGTTTTTGGAGTGTGGTCAAACTAAACTTTTATATTCTTCTATTTTTTGTTTTCAAGAAAATATATAAACAATTGAAATCAAGGGCAATGCAAAAAAGGTAACGTAGTGGACTAGAAAGCATGAGCTGTGCATTTTTTATCTTATATGAAAACCTCATCGAAACTTATCATTGGCCTTACTTAACTTGTAATTAGCCTAACTAAACTCGTCATGAATCCTATATCAGAAGTACTTGCTGTCAAAAAATCTACAAATTCTCATTTCAATAGAAAAATTTAAAATTGTATGACAACCTTATCAGAACTTGTTATTGGCTTTACTTAATTTGTCATTAGTCTAATTAAACTTGTCATAAATCCTATATCAGAAGTGTTTGCTGTCAAAGAAATCTGCAAATTCTCATTTCAACAGAAAAATTTAAAATTGTATACAAATTTTATCGGAACTTGTCATTGGCCTTACTAAACTTGCCATTTACTGCTTATCAAAAGTGGCTGCTGTCAGAAATATGCAAAGTTTAATTTCAACAAAGAAATTTTAAATTGTATGCAAATCTTATTGAAACTTGTCATTGGCCTTACTGAATTTGTCATTTATTGCTTATCAAAAGTGGCTACTGTTAGAAATCTGCAAAGTTTAATTTCAACAGAGAAATTTTAAATTGCATGAAAATCTTATTGGAACTTGTTATTGGCCTTAGTGAACTTGTCATTTGCCATAGCAAATTTGTTACTTCATAAATCCATGTGAAAATTCAGTCATTTTGACAGAAAAATTTGACAGAGATAAGTAGTAAATGACAAGTTTATTAAGGCTAATGACAAGTTCAGTAAAGCCAATGACAAGTTCAGTAAAACCAATAACAAGTTTCGATGAGATTTTCATACAATTTAAAATTTCTCTAGTGAAATTAAACTTGGCAAATTTTTGACAGCAGCCACTTCTGATAAGCAGTAAATGACAAGTTCAGTAAGGCTAATGACAAGTTCTGATAAGATTTCATGCCATTTAAAATTTCTTTGTTGAAATTAAACTATGCAGATTTATGACAATAGCCACTTCTGATAAGCAGTAAATGATAAGTTCAGTCAGGCCAATGATAAGTTCTGATAAGATTTTCATACCATTTTAAATTTCTCTGTTGAAATGAGAATTTGTATATTTCTTTGATAGTAAACACTTTTGATAAGCAGTAAATGACAAGTTCAGTAAGGCCAATGACAAGTTCCGATAAGATTTGCATACAATTTTAAATTTCTCTGTTAAAATGAGAATTTGCGGATTTCTTTGAGAGCAAACACTTCTGATATAGGATTCATGACAAGTTCAGTCAGGCCAATGATAAGTTAATTAAAGCCAATGACAAGTTTCGATAAGGTTGTCATACCACTTTAAATTTCTCTGTTGAAATGAGAATTTGCAAATTTCTCTGTTGAAATGAGAATTTGCAAATTTCTTTGACAGCAAGTACTTTTGATATAGGATTCATGATAAGTTCAGTTAGACCAATTACAAGTTAAGTAAGGCCAATGACAAGTTCCGATAAGGTTTTCATACAAGATAAAAAGTGCACAGCTCATGCTTTCTAGTCCACTACGTTACCCTTTTTGCGTTGCCTTTGATTTCAATTGTTTATATATTTTCTTAAAAACAAAAAATAGAAGGAATATAAAAGTTTAGTTTGACCACACTCCAAAAACTTCTCAACAAAATAAAACTTATCATTGAACTCTCACATTGCCAATAATTTATGAATAAAGAGAACATAAACTCAAAGAACAAATCAAAGAATATTAAAAGGGAACCCTCCGTGTTTAGCTTCATTCGCTACTTACAAACCAATCAATGAATCAGGGGAAAGAACATAACAAAGAAGACAATATTTGAATCCCCCTCTTTGGGTATGGATTCAAGTAAGAGTGAATCAAAAGATGATACATTTTCATCTCAAACTACAATATATGGAGGCATCTGATACAGAAGATGGGAATGATTCCTTCCTACTAAAAAAGAGAAGAATGAAGAGAGAGAGGAAAAGAAGAACGAAAGGGAAGAAGCTCTGGAGAGGAAGAAAGAGAAAAAAACATAAGGGTATTTTGGGACATTCCACCATCATTTCATATTTGCAATTTGAGATTGGGTCCTCTGAAACTATTTTCCAAATCCAGGGTCTCTAATCGTTATTTTATATATTGGGAGGTTTTTATTTGCAATTTTCCCAAAAAATTATCAATTTATCCAAAAAAATATCAAAAAGTTACTCCTCTGGCCCTACCTATAAGGTAGAGAGAAGGTTTTTCTTAATCCTATTTATAAGTCGTTTCATTAAATTTTCAGCGTGGATATACTATTTTGTTTTTTATTTATTATAGTGTAGATAGTTATTTTTTTTAAAAGATATACATATTAAATAGCAATAAAATTAAAAAATTTGTTATATTTTAATAAATAATTAATGTAGTTTAAGATTTTTTTTATCCGTATAAAGCAGTGTTTTATAAATAAGACGAGATGAGCGAGATAAAATGTAATTCAATAAATCTAAATCTATACCGCGTGGTTAATTTCTCCTCTTAATAAACGCCCTTGGCTTAATGCCGCGGTAAGCGCAATAATCACAGTGCTAATCCAGCCCCAAACCAGAGTTATATTGACTCCAAGTCCAACAATAGATGCCATTGGACCAAGGCAGAACAAAAGAACAAGCTAAATTTGCATCGCTACACGTGGCAACAAACGATTTGCTGTACCAGACTGAGGGAAAAAACCGGACGCGCCTTCACCATTCCTACCTCCTTTCTTTCTCGCGACGACTAGCGCAGTTGCGGTGTTCGTCGCCGCCCCTATCAGAAAGCTGAGGGAGGAGAGAGAGATAGATAGAGAGAGAGAAGCCATGAACAGAAGAAACGATATTCTTCTGAAGATCATTGTCCTCCTCTTCGCCCTCAATTCTTTCTCCCTGTTCCTCTACTTCACTTCCTACTACTCCCCCACCAAGCCTCCTCTTCCCCGACCTTCACTCCGTAACCTTCGAACGCAATCACAATACTTGAAACCTTGGCCTATCCTCCCCTCTTACCTCCCCTGGACCCAAGCCTCCACCAATTCTGTAGATTTCCGCTCCTGCGAAGCCTATTTTGGTAACGGCTTCACTCATCGCGTCGATCTCCTTTCCTCCAACAGTTCCGGTGGCGGCGGATGGTTTCGGTGTTGGCACAGCGATACATTGAGGAGCTCGATATGCGAGGGAGGGAAGCTTCGAATGTTGCCGGAGAAGATCCAGATGTCAATGGGAGGCGAGAACTTGAAGGAGGTATTGGGGAGGAAAGAGGAGGATGAACTTCCTATGTTTCAGAATGGTGCGTTTGAGATTCACGGAGGGGAGGGGCTTAGTGAGGAGAAGCAGCTCGTGAGCCGAGAGTTGTTGGATGATTATGTGCCTCGGGGTGAGATTCAGAGGCATACGATGCGCGATTTGATCAGTTCGATCAGGGTAGTGGGTGAGAAGGGCTTCGCTTGCGATGAGGTTATAGGGATTTGTTGGTTTTCACTTTTTGGTTCTAACTTTGGTGATCACAAATTCGAAACTTGATTTAATCCATTGGGAATGGACATCACCTGAATACTATGTGATTGCATTACTGTCATCTCACATGCCCCAAATGGTATCGATATAATTCGGTGCCATCATGGCTTTTTATCACAGAAATGAATCTAAGGCGAAAAGATTTGATTGCAATTTTTTATTTCGATTCGTTGGAACACAGCATTGATTTAGTTTACAGTAAACGGATCAAATCATGACTTCTAATAGTACTATCAACCAGTCCTAAAACTTATTTAAGCCTTTTGTATACCTCTCACTATCAACCAGTCCTAAAACTTATTTAAGCCTTTTGTATACCTATCATGTAGTAACGGGAAACATAGAAATCTGTATTTTTTATCTAGGAGTCTGACTTCTGTATGTTAATTGCCCTTTGAAAGCAGAGGGAAAGCCTTTTTTTTTTTTTTTTTGGGTTAGGACCTGATCAATGACGATATAATGGAATGATAAGTCATACTTGGTCAATAGCTTCTGTGACTCAGGAAGTTGAAGATGATGCTATTTGTGTTAATTTCTGTCTTGTTGAGCTTTATCCCTTTGTTTTGTGACTTCTGCTTGCCTGATTCTAACATGAATGTATGATGCAGTGGATTGAGGAGCCAACACTTCTTGTGACACGCTTTGAGTACGCAAATCTTTTTCACACTGTTACAGACTGGTACAATGCATATGTTTCTTCTAGGGTCACTGGCTTGCCAAATCGACCTCGTCTGGTCTTTGTAGATGGCCACTGCATGGTATGCATGATCAGATTTGGTCATTATTTTTCCAATTCATAATTCCTATGCCATTGGTTGCTTGAGATTTGTGTATTATTGTCCACTCTCCGTTATGGAAATCTACTTCTTGCATCTTCAATTTATTCACTAGTTTTCTCCTACTGTGAAAGGATTGATTATCTTCCTTTTCATCTTCCTCACAGTTGGTTAAAAGCTTTGGATTGACTACTTTCTTCCTCCTATTAAACATTTCAGACGCCCCTCGAAGAGACATGGAAAGCATTATTCTCAAGTATCGGATATGCCAAAAACCGCAGTGGGTCAGTTTGTTTTCGCCATGCTGTTCTCTCACCTCTGGGATATGAAAACGCGCTATTTAAAGGTCTAACCGAAGATATAAATTGTGATGGAGCATCTGCACCTCATCTATGGCAAAACCCCGATAATCTCAAAACTGCACGTCTATCGGAGTTTGGAGAGATGATCAGAGCAGCTTTTGAGTTACCCTTAAACCAACACCATGTAAGGAAACCAACCTCTGGTCACAATGTCCTTTTCGTTCGCCGGGAAGATTATTTAGCTCATCCTCGCCATGGTGGCAAAGTCGAATCAAGGCTTACTAATGAAGCAGAGGTATTTAACTCTCTGAAGATCTGGGCATCTGGCTACCAAGGATGCAAAATCAACCTTGTGAATGGATTGTTTGCGCATATGCCTATGAAAGAACAGGTCCAAGCAATTCAAGATGCATCAGTAATCATTGGTGCTCATGGTGCTGGTCTTACTCACATCGTATCCGCATTGCCTAAAACTGTGATTCTTGAGATAATTAGCAGCCAGTTCAGGCGTCCACATTTTCAGTTGATCTCCCGATGGAAAGGATTGGAGTATCATGCTATAAATCTTTCCGGTTCATATGCAAATCCGCAGGATGTTATCAGTGAGCTGAGCAGGATAATGAGAAGCCTTGGATGTTAAGGGTTTGGGTTGTTTTGGACCAGAACTTTTGATCTCTTAACTCAGCGGATGGTATCAGTTTTGCTTGTGGTAGAGCTATACCTACTATGTGTACTTGGGAATATACCAGAATTGAGTCTGACTGATAATGGTTGACAAAAGCAGCCGCTAAGGGGCATGCTATCCTGCGGCATCATCATTTGTATATTGATTCTTGGCTGTATATTACGATAGATTATTATTTATTGCTCCTTTTTTTCCCAGAGTGCTAATTGGAGTATCTAATACTGATGAAAAGAAGTATTGCATATGATTTTTGTCCCAGAGGACAGTTTCGTTTTGAATGGGTAGAAAACTGTGTTGCAAATTAAAGTGGTTAAAGATGAGTTGGACGAAAGAATTAAAATTCAAGTCATATATTGTGCTTTTTGTTATGTTCTTTTTCTGAACTTCCAGTGTAATTATTGTTTTTAATAAAATTCCTTTCTACTCAAAAAAAATTCAAGTCATATTAATGCAATTAAATTGATATATGAACAATATGTGCAGCTCGGTTGAAACTTTGTTGTGAGCCAATTTCATTAAAATTAAAGCTCGCGTTGTTTCAAACGTTGTTGTGGAATCAATAGTAAGTTATCTTAATTATTACTAATTATTAATAACATAAAAATTCTAGTAAATCACACAATCAGTGTACTGCAATGCGTAAAAGATATTTAGTTTGTTTGTGAAATACTGCATTAAAAATATGACATTTTGAAGAAGAAAAAACTCAACTCTATTTTTCTGTTAATAAAGTTTAAAGACATGCTATACGTTTGTTCTTCAAAAATCAGGATGAAATAATTATTCCTATTGTATTAAAAATAAAAATTAATTTCTAATTGGTGTTTGACAATAATTTAAAGGCATCGATTATGATAGTCAAAATTAAATCCCAATTCGATATTGTATAAAAGGTAATTCACTAATTTGTCCGAGACCGACAGAACATATAATAGCAAATGTCCTTAAAATACTGTAAGAAAAGCATTAGAAATTTAGAATATCTAACAGAACAAATATATGTTTATTGAAAAATTACCATAAACAATGCATAGGAGGGAAGGAGAATGAGAATTGAGAAGAACGAGGGATCATTTTGGCTCACACGTGTAAGTCATCGAAGAATGTTTTCTGAAAAAGAAAGAAAAAAACAACCAAAAGTACAAAAGAGGAGAGAATACGATGCTATCTCTGTTCTCTAGTTTTCTTATTTTGCTTGGCCATGTAGACTTGTGTACGAAACATTCTGATTTGCAGACTCAGCATTAGCATTTTGACAAAAGGTTGTAAGAGAGAGCATCAACCTTGCGTAGTTGCCAAGGAGGCATCTTTCCTTTTTAAATGTACTTTATTTATCGTAATAACCCTTTCGCCTTCACCCCCCTTAAGCCATTGTCTCCGCCCTGAAGCCTGCAAAGCCAATAGCAGCCTCTGAAATCACCAGAATATGGCATTTCCAGAATCGCGTTTGGTTTCTTCGGACGAGGTCAAGGATGCTATTACTGAGTTCGGTATGTGAAAGTCCCCTTCATATACATCCCTAGGGTCCCAAACAAGGTTTTGAGAGCCTGAAATCCCACACACAAACACAATGACATAACGCGATGCAGTCTCCTAAGTATAAATTAGTGTTGTGTCTGATGTGGCGTATTGTGAGTCTCACACACTCGGCTGTATTTTTGAAGCTTATGGATGTTTCAAAGTAGTCACTTTTGAACTCATTATTACGTTGAATAAATCTAAGTTAAGTGGCTCTTATTTTAGAGATATCGGTTGGTCAAAAAGGTTGGGGGAGTATGATCAAAAGATCTTTCTTTCTTTCTTTCTTCTTACTTTTTTTTTGTTTTTTTTGTCCTTGCCCTTTGTTCAGAGTCCATGGTGAAAAGGGTGAGACCGGTAGAGTACTACCTGACAGCAATATTTTACTTTATTTGAGGATCTTCTTTATATTTGAACTTTGCTTACTCCTTAGTTGAAGGTTTCACTAGGGTCCTTACTTACTTGAAAAAGTGACAATTCCACTACTACCTGCAAATTTGCTTATGCTAACAGTCCGTTCAGTTGTTCTTCATTTGCACCCTTGACAGTACTTCTACTACAATATTCATGACTTGCATTTTAGATTTTGAGCATGTAGTGCTTGACATGACTATTTGAATAATTTTTTTAGTCTTGAATTTTCTTGCTTCAATATGATTCATTCACATTTTTCTCCTGCTATTGCCAAAAGCTAGGAGATTTAACAACAATTACTACCACCCCTTGCACCTAGCAATACTCAAAGGTGATTGGGAATCTGCGAGGGCATTCTTCGAGCGTGACCCTAGTGCAGTGACAGCAAAGATCACCACCATTGCCAGGACAGCACTACATGTGGCAGCTGTAGCAGGGCAGTGGAAAATTGTGGAGAAGTTGGTGCAGCAAATGCCGGTAGAAGCGCTCACTGAGTTAGACTTAATGGGATGTACTGCCCTGCACTATGTTGCATTGGGTGGAAATACAACAGCTGCTAAGGCATTGGTGACCAGGAGTCCTCTTCTGACACAAATAGCTGATCTTGAAGGATTCTCTCCTCTTGTCTATGCAATTATCTCTTCTACAAGTAAAGAGTTGGTATGGTACCTAGCTTTGGTTACTACAGATGAGAGACCTGCGAGTCCATTCACCGGTCCTTCTGCTAGTCGTCTTGTTGCTTTGCTTACTGCTGGAGGATTTCATGGTAATTGAAACGCTTTTCTGGATAATTTGTGGCTATTTATGTTTTTAGAATTTCTGGTTGATATGAATAGTGTGGTGGAGACAGTGGCGCGTCATAACGTGTCATCTCATGTTAGCCTACCAACAATGATAGCATTTAAGTCACCAATGACAAGGGGAAAAAAACATTGACTGAGACAACAATTGCCTTTTAGTGATGGTCAATAGGGTTGGATTCATGTTGTCAAAAACTAATTAGATGAGAAGCTACTGGACTTGCAGGACGTTAGTTTATATCATACAACCACTAACATAATTTTCATGGACCATGAAAGAACACTTATCCATTGTTTCGGTTTTGACCCCAAGCTTACCAAACTATTCAACTCTTATAGTTTCATACTCTCTTTTCCTTCTTTTCAATAATTATGCTCCTCTCTAATGCGCAGATATCACTTTGTTTCTTCTCCAGCGCTATCCCAGCTTGGCCACTATGGCAGACTCAAATGGGAGTGTTATATTCAATGTGTTGTCCAAAATGCCATCAGACTTCCAAAGTGGAAGTAAGCTTGGGATTTTGGGAAGGTTCATTTACCACTGTAAGTATTCATTTCGGCATAATTCTTTTTCTCTTTCCAAGCTTCATTTTGGTTCTTGCGTTTTATGAAATGTAATATTCTTCTTCTACTATCACACTAGTTGTTCCAGAGGAACTTGATCATTTACAGCCGAGAGGAGATTTGAAGGATCTTCATGACGCACCTAGCAAAGGTTTCGTCTGGAAAACCATTGAGAAGCTGGGTATGTTTTTCATTGTAGTGGAAGTACATTTTCAAAGATCCTCAAGATCCATTCTTAGCCTCACTTTCTATGTAACTAAATTTGCACCTGCAGTTCCAAGCATAAAGCTAGTAAGAGACACAAAGTTGAGACATAAATCTGCTGAGAGATTAGTAGAGCATGTTTGTTCACAAGCCTTTATCATGAACAACTTCATTTTCTGGCAGTCTTTCGTCAGTGCAGACATTTTGTACAACACCATATCATCTGGGATAGTTGAAATTTTAAGGATATGTTTCAAATTCTTTCCTGATTTGATTTGGACTAAAATGCCAAATGAAGGATACATAATGCAAGTTGCCATTAAGAATCGGCAAGAAAAGGTCTTTAGCCTTTTGTGTAAGATGCCAATTGGTAGGCTGCTAGTTTTGGTGGTAGATGAATCACAAAACACCACATCACATCTTGCAGCAAGGTTGACTTCTTCTCCTCAGCTAGCATCAGTTTCCGGCGCGGCATTTCAGATGCAAAAAGAGTTACAATGGTTCAAGGTATGTCTAATCTTATTAGTCACCTCCTTACAGGCTCACAGTTTAATTTCTCACAGATAGCAACAATGAGATAGTCCCTTTCATGCTGAACAAGAAGGGGGGTGGAATGAAAGAACAAAATCTCCAAACTTCAAGGATCAAATCAATGAATCAATAAGTAAAGTATAACAACTACAATTGAATAGACACATATTTAAAGATAAGGAATGGGGATAGTGGCTAAGAAAACCCAAAGCATAAAAGGTTTTTTTTTTTTTTTGCTTCAAATTCATAATGTGATCCTAAGTTCTTTAATTGCCCAACTATATCGGTTAAGAAAACCCTAAGCATAAAAGGTTTTTGTTGGCTTCAAATTCATAATATGATCCTAGGTTCTTTAATTTCCCAACTACAAACCCAAATCGCCAAATAATAATTGCATTGTTACATGGCAAAGAAGATAATAGATATATCTTCTTATACTGCATTGCCCTTGTAGGAAGTGGAGAAATTGGACCATCCTCTTCATAAGCAAGTTAAAAACCAAGAGGGGAAGACAGCTTGGCAGTTATTCAAGGATGAGCATAAGGGTTTGCATGAACAAGGAGAGAAGTGGATGAAGGATACATCAAACTCCAGTATGTTAGTGGCAGCTCTTATTGCCACAGTTGCTTTTGCTGCCGCTGTCACTGTTCCTGGAGGCAATGACCAGACTAAAGGAATCCCAATTTTCTTGAGGGATAAAGCATTCATGGTGTTTGCTGTCTCAAATGCTTTAGCTTTATTTTCCTCTGTAGCTTCTATTTTTATGTTCTTATCAATCTTAACTGCGTACTATGCTGAAGAAGATTTCCTCAAGACACTGCCTCGGAAAATAATTCTGTCTCTGGCCTCTCTATTCGTTTCTATAGCAACTATACTGATAGCGTTTGGGGCAGCTCTTTCTTTGGCACTTAGGGAAAGACTCAAATGGGTGCCAATTCCAATTACTCTTCTGGCTTCTCTCCCACTTGCTCTATTTGCAATGCTCCAAGTTCCTTTATTTGTAAGAATGATTGTATCAACTTACGGACGTGCAATTTGTCAGCCTCGAGATCTTTGGTAGGTTCATTCCCTAATGCAATATAGATCAAGGGAGAATATGGGAGATTAAATGCCTGAGTTAAACCCTAGTGCAATATGCCCTAATGCATCACTCACAATGGTCACCAAAGTTGGTGCTGGTCCAGGAAGTTTCAGAGGTCGCAAACGTGTTCCAAGTTCTAACAGCTGGAGAATGCAAGTACAGTCATGGCCTTGCTTCCCAATTTCATTTCTGAGCAATAGGAGCTTTAGTTAAGAATGTAAAGAAATATCAGTATCGTATATAGAAACCAATCCTTCGCCATTTGGGAGAGTCTTCTTCTTGTGATCTAACATCTTAAGAAAAGATATGTTGTCCATTTCTACTATAAAGGGGCAAGGACTAAGACGAAAATTGAAAAATTCCTTTCTTGACTGCTAATTTTTTTTTATATGTGATGTGATAATTTAAAGGTATCCCCAAATAGACTTGAAAGTCTAAGCTTAATCTAACTTAATATATCTTGTTTTCTTGTATACCAACAAGCTCAATAATTTTCTATTTGCATGTGCTAACTTCAAATTATATATGGGATATTTATAAAAAAAACATTTAGAGTCTGTTTGGAGCCGTGAATCTAGTTTTTTCCCTATGGACGACCCCAAAAAAATGATGTTTAAAAGGTGGCCACTTATCTTCACTAGCATCTTCGTTGTATTAACACGCTCAATTATAATGATTTATTACCACGCGCTCAATTATAATGATTTATTACCTCCGATTTTTAGTATAAAATCTCGTTTGATTTTTATTTTAGTTTTATATATAAGATTTTAATTTATTTTTTCTATCATATTTATGTATTTTTTTAAGGCAATCTTTTTAATAATAGTAGTTCTAATCAATATAATTAATTAGCAATGATATTTTAAAAAAGACAGTATATATTTGTTATAAATAACTAATTTAACTTATTTTTTTAATTTATTTAAATTAGTTAACTAATTATTATATTTAGGATCCGAAGTTGTATATTGAAATATTAACACGTTCAATTAACGGCCAGGATATTTTAATAACCCATGCGGCGTCGTTAAGTAGCACCATTCGTCGATGCAGAGTTTCAAGGGGCGAATCGCATGCACTGCTTATTTGAAGCAATGCGTGTGAATGTAGGCTGGGGATTTTCGCCAACCATTTCCCCTAGTCCCTATGCGAGCAGCCCCTTGCCATGCGCGTGCTCTTCAAAGTTCGAAGCTGCTTCGTCTGCAAAATCTCGTCGGCTTTGTATTCCTCTCATTCCCCCTACCTCCCTCACCAACTCACTACCCTCTCCACCAAAATCCCAACTTTCCAATCTCTACTTCAATTTCACGCAATTACTGTCACTACAGGCAACTCCAACAATGTCTTCGTTGCATCCAAGCTCATATCTCTCTACGATTCCTTCAACCACCCCACTTCCTCCACCATGGTATTTCATTCACTTGATGATTCCAAGGACGTCTTTGCTTGGAACTCCATTGTCAAATGCCATTTCTCCCATGGCAATTTTTCTCAAGCTCTTAGCTTCTACTCCCAAATGCGAGAATCCGCTGTCTTGCCTAATGGCTTCACTATCCCCATGGTTGTTTCTGCGTGTGCAGAGCTGATGTTGCTAGACTATGCAAAAAACGTTCATGGCTTGGCTGCCAAGCTTGGGCTTTTGGCTGATGGGTCTGCAGTGGGTTCATCTTTTGTGTCCTTGTATTCCAGATGTGGCCAACTGGATGATGCATCTCACATGTTTGAGGAAATTCCTGTTAAAGATGTGGTTGCTTGGACTGCGCTTGCTATAGGGTATGTGCAAAATGAAGAGAGTGAGAAGGGATTGAATTGTCTTTGTGAGATGCATAGGATTGGTGAAGTTGATGTGAAGCCCAACTTTAGAACATTGGAGGGTGGATTTCAAGCTTGTGGGAATCTTGGTGCTCTTTCAGAAGGCAGATGTTTACACGGGTTAGCATTAAAAAGTGGAGTTGGATGTTCACAAGTCGTACAATCTTCAATTTTGTCCATGTATTGCAAATGTGGGATTCCCCAAGAAGCTTACCAATCCTTTTGTCAATTAATTAACAAAGATCTACTATCATGGACATCAGTCATTGGTAATTTTGCAAGGTTTGGGTTGATGACCAAATGTATAAGGTTTTTTTATGAAATGCAAGAAAAACAAATATATCCGGATGGAATTGTCATATGCTGCATCCTTTTAGGTTTCAGTAATTCCATGAATATATCCGAAGCAAAAGCATTTCATGGGTTAATCGTAAGGAGATATTATGTATTTGATGAGATAGTCCACAATACGTTATTGTCTATGTACTGCAAGTTTGGAATGTTAAGTTTAGCTGAGAGGCTTTTCCACGGGGATAAAAAGAGCCTAGAGTGCTGGAACTCAATGGTTATTGGCTATGGTAGAATAGGTAGGAGTGTGAAATGTATTGAAACCTTGAGGGAGATGCAACATTTAGGTATTCATTCTGAATCAAAAAGCTTAGTTTCTGCAATTGCTTCTTGTACTCAGCTAGGAGCAACCAAAATAGGAAGGTCAATCCATTGCAATGTGATAAAGAATTTTATGGATGTCAATGTCTCAGTGGCCAATTCACTAATAGACATGTATGGAAAATGTGGGAAGATGGCTTTTGCTCGGAGAATATTTGATAGGATGGAGAGGGATGTTGTCTCGTGGAATGCCCTGCTATCGTCTCTTGTTCCAGCTGGGCATCACCAAGAGGCTATAGACCTATTTAATAAAATGGTTGTAGAAGAACAAAAGCCAAATACAGCCACCCTAGTTGTTATTCTTTCAGCTTGTTCTCACCTCGCGTCTCTGGAGGAAGGAGTAAGAGTTCACCATTATCTAAATGAAAGAGGTTTTGAACTCAATGTACCACTTGGCACAGCTTTGGTTGATATGTACGCTAAGTGTGGGCAACTAGAAAGGTCAAAACAAATGTTTGACTCAATGGAAGAGAAGGATGTAGTTTGTTGGAATGCGATGATTTCAGGTTATGGAATGAATGGATATGCAGAATCTGCTGTGGATTTATTTCAAAGAATGGAAAAAGCAAATGTTAAACCAAATGAAATTACCTTCCTTGCTCTTCTCACAGCATGCGCCCATGCAGGACTTGTTGAAGAAGGAAAGCACCTGTTTGCTAGAATGCGGAGTTACTCTATGAAACCCAATTTGAAGCACTACACTTGTATGGTAGATCTTCTAGGGAGGTCAGGTAATCTGCAAGAAGCAGAAGCTCTAGTCCTATCCATGCCCATCTCTCCAGATGGCGGTGTTTGGGGTGCTATATTAAGTGCTTGCAAAACTCATAATCAAATTGAGATGGGAATAAGGATTGCCCAGTACGCTGTTGACTCAGATCCAGTAAATGATGGATACTATGTGACGCTAGCCAATATGTATAGCTCCATTGGGAAGTGGGAAGAAGCAGAAAATGTCAGAAGGATGATGATAGAGAGATGCTCAATAGGAAAGAAAGCTGGTTGGAGCATGCTCTAAGCTATGAGGCATCTCTAGAAGTTTCGGATGTGAAGGCTAAACTGTGGACATGTCAAAGGACAGTTAGCTTAGAAACTTGGCATCGATCTTGAACCCAGTGGCATTTAAACCAAGTTTTAATAGATTATCCATGATTTATTTTGGCCCTATCTGGAACGCTTGCAGAGCCTACTGTTGGGTTAAGCAGCTGATAGGTGATTCCCGTCTACTTTTGTGAAAATTTTACTTTGAATCATGATGGTTGAAAGTGTGACAATTATGTTCCCAAGAATCAGTGCTTTGTGATAAAGTTAGTGTTAGTGATGCTCGAGTCAAAATGACTATATCTTTGAGAAGTTTTGATTGAAACATGACAAATAGTGATTACAGAAACTAGATTGAGAGAAATAGTGGAGGTTATAGTTCGTAAACCTTAGCCTCCAAATCTCTTATACTAGGAGATGGTGAAATAGTTATGGTGCAAAAAAAAATCTCTAAATAGCCCTCTTAAGTCCCTCTTGTTCCTTCCAATTCTTACCCAATCTCACTTTCCTTGTTTCTATTTTCAGAAATTCCTATTGGAGGAGGCTTGTTGATGGCTTTGAGGACCCCTTAATCCTGAGGTAATCAATCAAAGTTCTAGGATAAGCAAATGGCTAACATCAGTGATGCCCTTGGAATTTGATGAATCAAATATTTCGGTTCGATTTTGAAGTTTGATAGCTGCCTTGAATGTTCAGTGCCGATATATATGATACTCAGTTGGAGTTCTATCAGTGAGTCTGTCCAGCTAACTTCTAAATATAACAGGAATTATTAGTCGTAACTCTGTGCAAGTGAAGTTCTACAGTGAGTCTGACCAGATAGCTTCTAAACATAACAGGGATTCTTGGCCATAACTGTTGCAGCAAGTTTGTAGTAGCAGTAATTTTTTAAGCTTATTTGTCATTTTGAAATAATGCTGGTAGATAATGTATATGTTCTTGTTTTATTGGCCTAATTTCATGAACGAGGGGGGATGATTCGGTCATGATGCCTTTAAATTGGATCGTCATATTTCATTCTGGCCTCTGCTCTTGGCAATGCATTCATATTTTACTGTTTATTGCCGTAAATGGCTGCAGAAATGTTTTAGCAGATTGCACGAGGGGTAATAGATATTTTAATATTCTTGTAGATTTATGCAGAAATGGATACTGAAACTTTCGAGTTGTTTTACAGACAAATCCTGAGTAAAATTTTACAGTACAAGTGGGACAAGACACATTCATACATCAACTTTTGCGTGCAGACACATGAGATGAAGCCAATGAGTGCAGATACACTAATTGTTTATTTGAGAGGCACAAAATGTTAATTCAAAAGCCTTTCGATAGTCAATGGAGGAAATGAAGGCAAACCAAGAGTTTGCCTGCAATGGGATATGGTCTTCAAGAGTTGGTTCACTTTGCTGCAACAACAAAGAATATTGAGTTACCAAAGCGTCCAATGCAAAACAAATATTACCAAGTATAAATCCGAAGTTGTACCTAAATATTTCATTCAAAGTTGAGATGAATACCTCAACATCGACGAGGTGTTCTCAGACCACATTTACCAGGCAAGGCCAATGCATTTCTGGGGTTGATTCCAGCTGCAGGTAATAGAGACTTATAACGACATAGACAAGGCAGATTGGCTCGCCTAATGACCGCACAACATCTCCTCGAGGGGGGTGGCGGGTGCCTCCCAGTACTTGCTGCACGGCACAAGTTCAGCCTGGATGTTTCCACGTTACATATCACAACAGCTTGGGCACCACTCAACAAGGCAATGAGCAGTGCTACCACCAGCCACTGCCCCAAAGCTTTGCCACTAGTCTGAGCCATACTTGACCAGGTAGAACTCAGAAGCAGTGAATTAGCTAGGTCTAGTTGATAATGCTCTCATGTCTGAACGTTAATTTATAGAGAATTCGTATTGATATGTTGGAAATATTTTGCATTAGTTTAGTTTAGCGTCAAAAGTTCTCCTTGTTTTAGGCTTGTCATGTGAGGCCAGTCTGTAAGAGAGGTTCACGAGATGGGTTTGCATGAAAATAAAAAGGAGGGATCATAATCATAAGCAAGCAAACAAACAAGCTTAAACTAGCCCATCACTTGCTAACAAACAAAAATTGGTTATTTTGTTTGAGAGTCAGCAGGCAAAACTTATTATTCTTTATGTCTTCCTGCAGTAGATTGCTCGTTAGGTTTTTCATGGTCAGAGATTGCTTGCTGGATACTGGCCCGTGAAACCATAGTATTGACTTAGAAAAAGGAATCTCGTTTTGTTTTGAATAGAAGCCAGCATATAAATAGTGCAGAGCTAATTAGCATGATTGGACATGAAAATGAAAATGAGCATGAATTTTGATGGAATGAAATCTTATGATCTTTAATTATATTTGACTAGAGATGAAAAAAAATTTAAAAAAAAATAATTATAGTTTTTCCCATGAAAAGAGAAAATAGGTCTTCTTAACAACTAAACAAGCTTGATGAAGAAATCAGCTTTCCCTTTGTTTATATTCAACGCAAAGGGTGTTTGGATTAGTGAAAATATACTTTTTAAAAATATTTTTTTCTTAAATCGAGACAAAATATCATATATATTTATTTTATACATAATAAAAACATTTTTAAATTTATGGTTTTGTTTCTACTCAAATATTCCTGTGACCATTGATTTTCCTTAGAGGAAAACAACTATAATTTCAATTTGTCGGCATGCTGACTTATTTAGATTATACGATATATGGTGTTGAACATGTCTTTGAAGTATGCTTGAACGTACTGGGGTCTGAGTGGCCAAAATTTTCTATACAAATTTAAAAAGTGCAAACACTATAAATTATTTTAGACCATTTATTTTTAAGGAAAACTAATTTGGAGGTCCTTATAGTTTTTATTAATTTTGAATCAGGTGCCTAAGCTTTTTTTATTTATTTAATTGAATTCTTTAACTTTCTATCATTAGATCCGTTAATCCCGTTGAATTAAAACAAACACTGTTAAAATCTCTATTAGTAAGCAAAGCTGAACATCTGAAACACTGTGCCCATCCTTCTCTTCTGCCATAAGTCCATAACCCAAGCTGAGAGACCAAGCATACGGAGCGTTTCGTGAAGAGTTGAAATTGAACTCATGTCGTTCATTAAAAAAAGAAGACAAACCTTTCATAACAGCATGATTTTATTTTCTTTGCCTTTTTAAGATACTACCTCCGGTTCTTAATATAAGATCCTATTTTATTTTTATTTTGATCCTAAATATAAGATCCTAATCCACTTTGTCTTTCATATTTATATATTTTTTCAAAGTAGTCCTTTTAATAATAAGAGTTTTAGTTAATATATTTAATTAGCAAAGATATTTTTAGAAAAACAATACTTATTTAGGAAAAATAATTAAACCAATTAAATTCTTTAATCTTCTCAAATTAATCAACTGGTTCTTATAATTAGGACAAAAACAATAGTTTGAAGTGAAAAATGACGTGAGGGATCGGATTCACAGGGTAATGTCTTTTCCTGCTAAGCCAAAGAGTAATACTTCTTAGTGGAAAGCATTTTTCTCTCTCTATAGAATGAATCCCCAATCTGTTACTAAAAAAGCATGAAACTCCAGTCATTCATCCTCCATTTCCAAGCTTCACTTTAACAGGGAAATCTCTATCCACTGTGCTTGCTCCATTTGTGGCGATCCAAGGCGACACGATAAAACCCCATTTTTTAACATAAAAAATATATATTATACGAAGAGATGGAGGGGGGAGCTTGGTTTCAAAGCTTGGGATGTGATGGAGGAGATGGACGGATATGATTTTTCAAATCGAGAAGATGTTTCAAAGCTGTGCTTACTAACGGAAATTTTAACTGCGTTTGATTTATTTGACGACAAAGACTAACAGATTTAACAGTATAAAATTAAAGGACTCAATAAAAAGAGAAAGAGTTTAAAAACCTTATTCAAAATTGATAAAAATTATAAGACCCTCTAAATTAGTTTTTCCTATTTTTAATTACAGATTGGGTTTTACGATCTATAAAGTATTAAAAAAACACAGATAGTGAAAGAAACTGGGCTCTATATTCATTTTAATGACGAGTGTTTCGCACTCATTATAAATTTAAATGGAGAAAATCCCTTATAAAGCTAATTAAATAACTTAAATTTTAATTTGGGTCAATAAACTTATAAAATTTTTAACCTAGTCAGATAATCTGAAGAAGGATTTTATTAGTTCAGGCTACTTTATATGAGATTTTCTCAATTTAAATTGTTAACGAAGCCCAGTTTTTTAGTGCAAAATAAAACTATTTTTCCAGTAACTATTCTTTATAAGGATTATTGTTGAAAATTCAGCCTACATTTTTTTCTCAATTGAATATTCAAAAACTTTTAACTTAAATTTTATTTTATTTTTTATGAAGTCATCCTCAATAAAAAAAAATTTGATATTTTTAAAATCCCTAAAATTTACTGTTCTGTTCTCAGATGTGATTATCGAGCTTGTAACGTGAGATCCTCGGGCTTCATTTTCTTCCTCAGAAATTAGCAACACGAAAATCGAAGTCGAAGTTTGAAGTTCTCCTCCACAGGTGCATTGCCATTTATAATTTCTGATATAAACTTAAGCGAATAGGTCTGTTAATTATGGATAGTCCGGCCGGTTTTTCATTCGCTTAGCGTTGCCGTTGACAAAACAGAGCTGCCCCAGTCAGAAGCTGCTGGTGAAGTCCCATGGAAGAAGAAGATCGGAGTCAGAAAGAAACAGGAAATGAGCCGCGGGAAGTAGATAGAGCACAACCACAACAGCTGCAACTGCGACGACCACGGCTCCATCCTGGAGTGGAAGAGAAACTTGTCTTGCAATTCATGGATTCTATGCATAATTACCTTTCCCTCTTTGATGCGTTGTCTTCGACACTTCGTCAGGTAGAAACATCGATTCTTACCTAATCACAGCCATCTTACAGCTGCTTCTGCCTTAATTGTGACCTTTAAATGTTTGGGTGTTCTTTGAATTAGTAAATTGTTCATTATTTTAAGACGACGGGAGAATGAAGATGTTTCTATTCATTAGGTTGCTTCTGTTGAAGAGGAAAAAAATTTTAGGCTGTGTTTGGATAAATCCCTTCCATAGAGGAATCGACATCTGGGTTCATAGCAAATACTCAATAGTCAGTGCAGTGTAATTTAAACTAATGTTTCTCGTATGATTTGGAAACCATTAGTCCCGGAGTGCATCGATTTATTCATGCAACTGGTCACAGACTATTGCATTTCACAAATAATATGAAAAACCTGTACAAATATCTTTCATCGAGTTCATTCTTCAAAGAAAGTTGCAATATTTAATTTCAAATAAGCGTGAAAGTTCTTGAGCTGATTAAGCTCATTCTCATTTGGCTCAAAGTTGTGTGACAATTTCTGCAAATTTGATACCAATATAATTGTGTAGAAAGATTATGATAAACATTCTCTTCCTCCTCCTCTTTCTCCCTCACTTGTTACCTATTAATTGGTTTTATAATATACAATGAATTGAATCATCTGTAAGTTTTTATCCTTTCTGATGAGAAGGAACAGAAATATTAATAGGATTTGGCAATCATAACTTAATGATGGAATCTCGGTGGTTTAATTCTGGTTGTCTTATCGTATAGATTATTTATTCGCCCTCCCTAGAAAAGCTATAAAAGCTCAATTTACACTTGAGTTGCCAGCTAAGAAATTTTATATTGTCCATTTTTTTCAGTTGATGTGGCATGTTTTCTGTTCTAAAAATATAACAGGGATGGCTGGATTTAGCAAGTGCTCGACACTCTATGGGTGGCTTACGCATCAATAGTTCTTTATTGAACATGAAACTCCATTCAGCTGCTACAACAGTGAAGATAACCCAATATGATGGTAAAGACTGTTCTATTTTTAAAGGACACGCATGCCTGTAACTGCTGAATCGTACTACTTCCCTTATACCAACTCTCTAACAGCCAATCCCTAAAATAATCTCTGTGATTTCTTCACTGTGGCAAAGCTTTCATTTTGCTCTATGCTTTCCCTGCATTGAAATTGAGGAAGCATTTGTTTCAGATGTTGCGGTTGATTCCGTTGCAGTACAACCATGCTTCACTTTGCGCAAATGGGTATCATCTGAACATGGAAATAGTCAATTAGAAGATAACAATGTGCATCTCCATGAGAGTGATGGTATTCTGCAATCATCTGGTATGGAGACTTTCTCGCTTTGCATTGATTGAATGGCATACTTTTCTCTGTGGACCCTGAATAATGTAAGGGGGAGGATTTGTGCAGTGACCCTAAAGCAAATGCCCCCCGCCCAAAAAAAAAAAAAACGAAAGGAAGGAAGGAAGAGCGCATAACTTTAGCTTTATGTTTGAAATGAAGCAGACACATCAGAGTAAAGTTCAATTGAATTTACAAGATGATTCCGCTGCAATATGTTATTAGAACTTAAGAACCGTGCAAGCTGTTTCTCATCTCGTCGTATATTTATTCAGCTGAAGAAAATGCTGAGGTGACTGTTTCAAAGAACTTGTCTGAATTTGCAGACAATGATCAAGTAGGTATTCTGCAACTGTTACTGCTTCCTGAACTCCTGTGTTATATATTTTCTTTTTCTGTAATTAGCACATCCATTAGAAGTACCTCATGCTGGCTTGCTGGTATAACTGCTATTTTGTGTTTACTTGGTTAATAAATAATACTATTAAATACTTCAACATTTATCTTCACGTAACCCTGAATTGCCTGTTCGTAATTCCTTGGATCTTATTCGTGCCTTTTCAGTTTTGTAAGGAGCGATCCAAATCACTGTCAATGTTTGGAATTTTGATTTCCCCAAAGCTTCGAGCCGCCCGGTTGTCATTTGAGAGAGGTGAATATCAGAATATAAGATCTTACTTCCCACCACTCTATCGGCATATTTGCTTTTAATTTTCTATAGCCAGGAAATCTGATTTATTCTGCCTACGAAAATTCTTTGCAGCACTAGAGACGCTTGTAGCAATAGCAAACATGCAGTCCTCTGTGCTATATTCTTTTCATCAACTTCATCAAGAGGCGGAAGATAATAAAAGATGAAAAAGTAGGAATTTTTCAGGTATACGTTGCTGCTGCTGCTGTGTTGTTTGTTTTTTTTTTTTAATTTGTGCCAACCAGATATACTAAATCTTGACTACCTGTATTTTTTTCCCCCTATTTCACGTTTATCTTCTCTAGATACATCTATCTTTATCAATTTTATAGCTAGATCCTAGTTTTTATTTGGTTGTTTAGCTGGTGGATCTATGTCATGTATCATATGTTGTGAAGATTCATGCAAAATAGATACAGAATACCACAGTATTGGACATGCTGGGATACAAAGAAACGACGTGACATTGGTAGTAACTTGTACAAGGAGTGACTGAATATAGTGATTAATTTTTACTCCAGGTTGCCGATATGGTCTGAGTGATTTAATTTGTCTCCGTGAGATTCTTCATCAGCTTTAAACGGTTGGCCTCGAAATGACACCAATCCTTCCAAATAGCAAGTGCCATTTGCGGGTCATTTTTCTGGACCTTAATTCCACAATGTAATGAAGAGATAGGAACTTTCCTTATTATATTTTGTTGCATTTTTCTCAAATGTCTTTGCTACATTACAAATTGCAAAAGTTGGGAGATGTTCTCATCAATTGGTTCCGTCTTGTTGTGACCCCAAGTGATTGATTATTTTTCGCCAAATAGAGACACAAGCAAATTTTATTAGGGTATGTTTGGCTCAATGAGAGGAAGGGGAGGGGAGGGATTTTAATGGAGGAAGGGGAGGGGAGGGGAGTGGAAGGATTTTAATATCACCTTGTTTGGATTTATAAAAAAAGAGGGGAGGGGAGGGAAAAATATTTTAATATGGACAATTTTGCTCTTATTTTATTTAAAGCGTGGGCATAATAGTCACAACATGACAAAATATAAACATAATGGTCACAACATGACAAAATATGAACATAATGGTCATAATATGACAAAATATTGCCTTTTCCCTCCAAATCCTCCCAATTTTGGAGGGGAGGTTGAAGAGGGGAGGGGAGGGGAAATTTTAAAAAATTTTCCCTCCCCTCCTAAAATTTGTGTGTTGCCAAACAAGAGAAAATGATTAAAATCCCTCCCCTCCCCTCCCCTCCCTTCCAAATCCCTCATACCAAACACACCCTTAGTGTGGACTCCATTAAAAGGCTAAAAAAATTTTTAAAACAAAAGGTATTAAATAATATTTAAAGCGTAAGCCCACATTATCGGTCCAACCGGGAAAAAAGAATTCTGATATATTATATCAAAATATGCTTTCTGAATAAACCAAATTCGAGTAGAACTGCCAAGTTTTGTTTTCTTGATAAGATTTTGGAGCACTTTTACTGGTACCCCCTCTCATGAGCCCATGCTAAAGTTTCAATCAATTCCTGCCAATATCCGCGCCGGGAGATTAAGAACATAAATCCAGTAGCCCAAACAAAGATTTCGTGCGATTCTTTCTAGTATGAAATGAGTCAATCATCCACTTTGGTAACTTATTGGACAAAAATGGTGATATTGTTCCTCTATGATCAAATCCTTTTTTTTTTAAATTAAATTCAAACAACCAATTTAAAAAAATTGGTTAACATTAGTTAAAATAATTAAAAGTGATAAATATGAAAAAAATGTATTTTTTTCCAAATATGTCCATATTTTAAGATGGTAAATAAGGGAGAGAAATAGTAAGGAAAAAAATGAAAAAGAAAGATAATAGATATAAAAATATATTAATATTTAGAAAAGTTTAAAGAGAGAATTACAATGAAATCCCAAGTAAAAAAAAATTGAAAAACAAGTACCACAAGTTATTATTTTCACTATAAGACTTATTATTATATACTGTTAAGATTGTTATTGAGACTTTTTAATAATTATTTTTTTATGAGACTTGATCGTAATTCTCTCAAATTTAAACTGTATCTTATAAAAAGAATTGTACGAATTTAAAAATTAAATGTTATAAAAGGCCAAATCAATCCTCCCCATTAGATATTCTCACCAAACAACCACGTCCAATAAGCTTACCAGCAGAGGTCAAAGAAAAAGAAAGCAGAGAGAGTATGGACGATGAAATCCAGAACTTCCTCAAGCTATGGATCAAAGCCATTTCATGCCTTTGTTGCTGCTACTTCGTCTCTTCAAGGATACCAAAAGGCTTCTTGAGGCTTCTCTCTCTTCTTCCCATCTTCTTCATCTTCCTCCTCCTTCCCTTAACCCTAACCCCCCATTCTCTTCTCCACATCGCTGGGCCCACCATCTTCTTCCTCGCTTGGCTCTGCCCTTTCAAACTCCTCCTTTTCTCCTTCGATGAAGGCCCTTTGTCACCCCTCCCTCCAAACATCCTCCATTTCATCCTCATTGCTTCTCTCCCAATCAAAATCGATCCTCAAGGTCTCAAAAAAAACCCAGAAAAACAGAGATTCAAACCGGTTCTCTTTATTAAAGTGCTTCTCCTCGCTGCGATCGTCTCCGCTTACGACTACAGAGATAATCTACACCCTCATTTGATCTTGTTCCTCTACTGCTGTCACATGTACCTCGGCTTGGAGCTCATGCTGAGTCTCTTTGCGGCTCCGGCTCGAGCCGTGTTCGGCTTCCAGATCGAGCCGCAGTTCAACGAGCCGTATCTCAGCACGTCGCTTCAGGACTTCTGGGGTCGTAGGTGGAATCTCATGGTCACCAGTATTCTACGGCCCACCGTATACGACCCTATACGACGTATCTCTACGCTCGCATTGGGCCTGCACTACGGGCCAATGCCAGCCGTGCTGGCCACTTTCATTGTGTCTGGTATGATGCACGAGTTGATGTATTATTACCTTACACGTGTGCCTCCCACGTGGGAAGTCACGTGGTTCTTTGTGTTGCATGGCGTGTGCACAGCGGCGGAGGTGGAGGTGAAGAAGGTGGCTGGTCGTCGTGGATGGAGGTTGCCCCGGGTTGTGTCGGGTCCGCTCACGGTGGCGTTTTTGGCTGTCACCGGTGAATGGTTGTTTTTTCCTCAGTTGAAGAGAAACAGTGTGGATGGGAAAATCATCGAGGAGTATTCAATGATGGTAGATTTCGTGAAGTCCAGGTTACGATGACATTGACATTTTTGGAAAATATTCTGATTATTATGGGAGGATGACAAAAAAGAAACTAGAAATTGTGTAATACCGAATGAAGAATTCATGTAGTTATTTTCAAATCAAATGAAATTAAAACGTATTAAAATGCAAGAAATAAATTTGATTTGAAATTTAATAATTTTCAAGGTTTTTTTAATGTCATGTTCCCTCTCATTATTCTTCCCACAAGTCTATGCATCTTTTTTGTATTTTTACACTAAAAACACTATTTTTTTTACATGCTTCTTTGTATCGAATACTAATGGGTTAGATTTAAGTATGGTTCGATTTTTGATAAAAGTATGTAGCTCTCATTCTTCATATTTGCGTTATTTGATGCCTACTGCTTTTTTTTTTTTAATAAAGAAATTTTAGAAAAAAGGTCGAGTTCATCCACAGTCTAAAATAAGACAACTAACTTATGATCCACTAGAACATATCCTTATAGGTATGGAAGCATGACAAGTAAGTCTTTTTTTTTTTTGTCCTCAATAAGTAGAATCTCTCAACTTTACTAAGCTGTAATATATCTTCCCTAACATCTCGACTATTTTAGGGATCGAATCCACTTCATTTGTGAGAGTATTCCTTGCCAACTACACCCAAAGATGAGGGGGTGATGCCTAATTCTAACAGATCGTATTTAAGCTTTTTTTTTTTTTTGACGTTGGTATTTAAGCATTGTTGAGACCTTATTGTAAAGGCATTTTTCACATACATCATGTTGCTAACAAACAAATTCAAGCACATTATGAAACTCTTGATGGGATTAGCTTTTATAAGAATATTTTTCACGTTCGTACATATTCAAATCCAAAATTTTACTAACAAACTGTTGGTTGATGTAACAAAAAATACAAATTCGAATTTCGAAAAATATACTTATTGTAAAGAACAAATATCCTTTTATGTTCTAAACTTTGAAAAAGAAAAATCATTAGTCAAATAAAAAACAAAATTGACACCCATGCTAATGGTTTTATAGCTTAGTAGATAACTAAAAAATTGTAGGTGAGTATTGTTAGTTCAATCGTACTTATGATCTATGCTTTCAATATCTAATTATCTATCTCTTTCATTTTCAAAAAGAAAAACAAAAAGCTAAACCACAGTATCTGTCTAAATCTCTAATAAGTACGTAAAATTAAAATACATTCCAAAATTAAAACAACTCCGAAAATAATAATTAAAGACATACAAGCGTCTACTTTTTGAGCAGTAAATAAATGTCTTTCTTCGTTTTTTTTTTTCCTTTATTCACAGATTCTCATACTCAAATGTCCTGGGTAAACTCCTGCTAAAAAACAATCAATTTATTGATTATTTTCACCAAATATACACGATTAATTTAAAAAAAACAAGAAGAAAAAGCGTCGACTCCAATATTATTATTCGTTTTCTTCATGAGATTTTTGACGAACGAGTGGTTATATTTTATTTTATCATTACCAACTGCCTCGATCTTCCAACTAATTAGCGCCCCACATCACATTAACTCATAATAAATATTCTAAACCAAAACACGTTTAACAAGCTGTTTTTTTTTTGGTAAAAAAAAAAAACACATTTAACAAGCTTAAAGCAATTGGAGTAGAAGCAGAAAGAGCAAACCAGAAAATGGACGACGAAATCTGCAAGTTCTTCAAGGTATGGATCAAAGCCATTTCGTGCCTCTGTTATTGCTATTACGTTTCTTCAATAATGCCAAGAGGCTTCTTCAGGCTTCTCTCTCTTCTTCCCATCTTCTTCGTCTTCCTCCTTCTCCCATTAACCCTCCATTCTTTCCACCTCGGTGGGCCCACCACCTTCTTCCTTGTTTGGCTCTGCACTTCTAAACTCCTTCTTTTCTCCTTCGATCAAGGCCCTCTATCGCCCCTCCCTCCAAACATCCTCCATTTCGTACTCATCTCTTCTCTCCCAATCAAGATTAAACCTCAGATTCCCGCAAAGAACTCAGAAAAACGAGTCTCGAAATCGATTCTCTTCCTGAAAGTGCTTCTCCTCGCTGCCATTATCCGCGCTTACGACTACAGAGATTACCTCCACCCGCACTTCATCTTGTTCCTCTACTGCTGCCACATGTACCTCGGCTTGGAGCTCGTGCTGGCTCTCTGCGCAGCTCCGGCTCGAGTGTTCGGCTTCCAGATCGAGCCGCAGTTCAACGAGCCGTATCTCAGCACGTCGCTTCAGGACTTTTGGGGTCGTAGATGGAACCTCATGGTCACAGGTATCCTACGGCCCACAGTATACGACCCTATACGACGTTTATCTTGGAGCGTATTGGGCCCGTACAGCCCAATCCCAGCCACGTTGGCCACGTTCGCTGTGTCCGGTTTAATGCATGAGTTGATGTATTATTACCTTGCACGTGTGCCTCCCACGTGGGAGGTCACGTGGTTCTTTATGTTGCATGGCGTGTGCACCGCGGTTGAGGTGGAGGTGAAGAAGGCGGCAGGACGTCGTGGATGGAGGTTGCACCGGGCAGTGTCAGGGCCGGTCACGGTGTTGTTTTTGGCGGTCACCGGCAAGTGGTTGTTTTTTCCTCAGTTAATTAGAAATGGGGTGGATAGGAAGGCAATAAAGGAGTACTCAATAATGATACGTTTTGTGAAGTCCAGGTTATTACAGTGAGGTCGACACTGGGAATTGAAGCCATTCTATTGCGGTTTCGACTTAACCACCGTTGGTTGAATTGAATTATTAATTGTTGGGTGTTAATCTTTCAACTGTTCAAACAAATGCTTTCTCCGCTTTTCTTGACGAATGCATTTTTGATATATTTTATACTCTCTCTTGCTCATACTTTTTATGAGTTATGTTATATACTACATCTAGTTCTAATTATAAAAACTAGTTGATTAATTTGAAGAGATTAAGAAAATAAGTTGAGTTAGTTATTTGTAATAAATAGGTGTTGTCTTTCTTAAAATATCATTGCTAATCAAATGTATTTGCCAAAACTGTCATTATTCAAAGGACTATCTTGAGAAAAATATATAAATATAAGAGACAAAGTGAATTAGAGTCTTATATTTATGACCAAAATAAAAGTCGAATGAAATCTTATATTAAGAACCAAAGAGTATATTTTTTATTGCCTTTGATCAATTTTAACTAATGTTTTAGTTTGTATAATTTAGTTATATAAATAATCTGATACTACTTGCGATCCTTAATATAAGATCTCGTTTGACTTTTATTTTGATCCTAATTACTACTTCCGATCCTAATTATAAGAACTAGTTAACTAATTTGAAGAGATTAAAGAAATAAATTAAGTTAGTTATTTGTAATAAATAGGTGTTTTTTTTCCCAAATATACTTGCTAATCAAGTGTATTCACTAAAATTACCATTATTAGAAGGACTACTTTTAGAAAAAAAATACATAAATATAGGAGACAAAGCAGATTGGGGTCTTATTTAGAACTAAAATAAAAATCAAACGAAACCTTATATTAAGGACCAGAGGTAGTATAAAACTCTAATCCACTTTGTCTCTCATATTTATCCAGTTTTTCCTAAGATAATTTTCATAATAATAGTAATTCTAGTCAATACACTTGATTAGTAAAAATATTTTAAGAAAGATAATATCTACTTATTATAAATAAATAACTCAACAAATTTTTTTAATTTACTTAAATCAACTAATTAGTTCTTATACCATGATTATTAAGTGTTGATGTGAATGGAATCCACGTGATTGGACAGTTAATACCACCCTGGCTCGGTTTGGCGGGTATTGGTTTGATTGGTTTTGGTCAGAAAATATTTTCTTTTTCAGATTTTAGGAGTACTTTTTACTTGTTTGATTTTTATTCATTGGTTGAATTTTTTGGCTATGGATGATGGAACTAGAGAAGTTCATCAATCATCTCAAACTCATCTTCCAATTCACAGGGGTTTTAGTCCTATCTATGTCAACAATTAATTAAACAAAAGAAAGTTATCTATTGAGACCAACCACGTAGTCTCAATTAATGAATACTACTTAATTTTATGCATCACAAAAAGCGAAAATAATAATGGTTTTGAGAATTATTGATGGTATTGGGTTCTTCGTGATGAAGGTGATGGTTCGGAAATTATCAGTGATGGTTCCTTTTCAGCTGGCGGCTGTTGCCATTTGCCAATGTGGATGGATTCTGAGTGGGAAATCACAGCTTTTGCAGAGCTCATGACTCGCCTCTAACGAAATGGAAGATGTCACTTCTGAATCTGACTGTACCACCCTCATTAACTGTGTTCAGAGATGCTCTTAGTGGAAGGGTGATGCCATATTCTGATTGAAGACATCATTTTTACAGTATTTATTTATTTATTTAATAGACAAGCAGAGCTTGTAGTTGTAGGCAGGGATTGACCCCAGATGCTGGCATAAAGTATTTATTTAATATGGATAAAAATAGCACCATTTCGAACTTTCATTTTGCAGTCTTGTATGAAATTTGGAGTGTCCAATCCCAATCTGAAAATAAAAACCAGAGCCTGGTACGGACAAGAGAGCTAGAGAGGGGGAAAAAGAGGGAGAGAGAGAGATGTCAAGACCAGAGGGTATGCATAAACAAGAGTTCAATAACCTAATCAAGGTTCATCTCTCTGTCTTCTTCTCACTATCCTACTCTTTCTTCATTGGCTCTAGAATTCCCAAAGGCAAGCTCAGGTTCCTCTCTCTTTCCCCAGTCTTCTTCGTCTTCATCCTCCTCCCTCTCAAACTTTCCTCTGTTTTTCCCACTGGTCTTATCGCGCTGTTCATCACATGGCTCTCCACCCTCAAACTCGTCCTTTTCTCTTTCGATCTAGGCCCTCTCTCTTCTCACCAATCGAAATCTCTTCAGAATTTCCTCCTCATTTCTTGCCTCCCAATCAAAACCAGCCAAAACCCCAAGAAAACCCCCAAACTTCCCCTCAATTCCCCGATCAAATCCCTTCTCTTCGTTCTCCTTTTGCCAACTCTGAACCAGAAACAGAATCTCCACCCGATCCTACTCCTCGCTATCTACTGCTGCTTGCTGTATCTTCTAGTCGACGTCGTTTCTGGAATCTGCAATTCTTTTACGAAAGCCGTTTTCGGAATGGAGTTGGAAATGCCGTCCGATGAGCCCTACCTCTCAACATCGTTGCAGGACTTCTGGGGAAGACGGTGGAATCTCATGGTCACGAGCCTTCTGCGAGATGCCGCGTACAAGCCGGTGAGATCAATTTGTGGGCCTTTATTGGGCCGCACTGTTGGAGTCGTGGCGGCTTTCGTAGTTTCCGGGCTGATGCACGAGCTGATATTCTACTACGTCACGCGCGAGGCTCCGACGTGGGAGGTCACGTGGTTCTTTGTGCTCCACGGAGTAAGCGTGGTTGTGGAGTTTAGGGTCAAGAAATTGTTGGGCCGGCCCAAGGGGGGGTTTGTTCGGTTGTGTATGGGCCCATGATGGTGGCGTTTGTGATTGTCACGGCCCACTGGTGGTTCTTTACCCCGGTGGTGAGAAACGGGGCGGATGAGAGAGCCGCAAAAGAAATCATGAATCTTCTGGAATGGATGATGGGAAAAGCAGGCCTTACCTCATTGCATGGTTAAAAGTGTTCATTTGAACTTCTTGTTTCGGGGCTTACAGTCTCCAAAGACATCAAAAATTACCACTATGTCCGCTTCTTAATATAAGAGCTAGTTAACTAATTTGATTAGATTAAAAAAAATTAGTTAAGTTAGTTATTTGTAATAAATAAGTATTGTTTTTTTTAAAATATCTTTACGAATAAAGTGTAATAGCTAAAATTACTATTATTATAAAAACTATCTCTTCTCTTTTTTAAAATATCTTTACTAATAAAGTGCAATGACTACAACTACTATTTATTACAAAGACTACTTTAAAAAAATAGATAAATATGAGACGAAATGGATTGAGCTCTTATATTTAAGATCAAAATAAAAATCAAACAAATTCTTATATTAAGGACCGGAGATAATATTATACAATTCAAATCATTAACTCCAGGCATAATATTTTAGATGTGTTGTGTCACTCTATTCTATTTCTTTTTTCCTTCTTTTTTTTTAGATGAAAGGGCAAGCAAAAGCTTGGTAGAAGATATAGATGATATCTAGAAATTAAATTCCAAATGTCATCCTAAGGATCTATAAAACCCGGTTGACCGCAGCAACGCTTATCAGCTAAAAATAACCCTGAGTGCTCTGTTCTATTTCTGTAAGTCAAACTTTCATCCCTTATCATCCTGCGTCAATATATTCATCATACGTTTTCGTTTTATATATGTTCACTTTATCCCAACCTAATTAATTAGTAGCGTGTGGTTATATAAACTAAATTATTACTGCTATTCATAAACTATTCACCTTATATTTGTACATTTAATTTTTAATTGAGTTAATTGAAAGAGTTCACCTGGCAGTGCATTGCAATCTTGCATGAAACTAGATCTGTATTCAATTCCATACGTGATCCCAAATTCTTTAAAATTACGAGGATGAGCATAGCCTTTCAAAGAGAAAATGATAACAAACACTTTGAAGCCGCATCTCATTTTCTTATCCTAGAAAAATTTATTGTTATAGCAGATTGTATCCGCGCGACATTTTTATTTCCACAGTTTCATAAACCATCACCAAAGTTCGGAAAATGGTACATGACATTACCAAAATTCTCCTCCTCTCTAAACTTTTGACATATTTTATTTTTCAAGAAGATATTCTTCCATCAACTTATTGAACAAAAATACATACCTCAGTAACCTTGTCTACAGAGTCCTCAAAATGAATAAGGATCAGTTACAACAATATCAAGAGAGGAACTAATGAGGCAATAATGCATATTGAAACTTCACTGTCCGGCAAGAAATACATATGAACCCAACCTTGGAAGACACTGATAATTCACAATAACGACAACATGTTCTCTCCAGGAGCCAATCTGTGAACCACATTTTCTAATTCGTAAATAAATACCTTACGTGCAGAAATTTATTCGCCCTCATTCAGCACTGGTACTATGAGTGGTTTCATCTGTGCCAAATATACAATCGCCCACCTAGTAACGCAAAGGAAAGACCCATGTGAGCTCATTAAAACAAGGGGGAAAAAAATTGAACACGATTATTCACATATTAGAATTACTATTATCCGATGACAACGTTATCAAAAGCAAAATAACAATAAAGTTCATTAATTCAAGGCATACAATTTATATTCGGAAATTAGCTCTCAAAGAATAATACATATGATCTTCGTTTATGAAAACAGAAACATAATTGAATAAAGATATTTTCTTTTCCATGTCCTGTGTCCATCCAATCTCAAGTGAATAAGTAAATTACTGTTGTAAAATCATTTAGCTAGAATGCAGCTTTTGTATGACACGGCAGTTGTAAGAAACGACAGCCTTCTCTGCTAACTGAATCACAGACTACTCAGAACAGTAACATCACCAGAAGTATATTAGAATACTTTAAGCATACCCATAACCACAAACGAGGTATACAAGCCATACATGTTCCAATTCCTATTCTGACCAGCACAAAACAAAAGAAGAACACTAATCAAGGATGCACTTACATCATCCAGCAACATACTGTTGCAGTGATAACCAAAGTAAGGTGAAACCTGCAGTAGAGTGATAGACGTTCAGTAACATGTAAATGAGAATAGCACATAATTGCACAAGTGACGAATTACAAACGCAGCAAGAAATTGGGGTGAACAATCAATGACAACATCAAGCACTGATCAATATTCGGCACAATATGTGCAAGGGCGTATAGTAATATTTAAATCCAGTAAAGGAACTCGTGTGAAGGGTCTTGGCCCTCAGTGATACAAAAATGATAAAGAGTTAATTAAAGACAGAAGCATGGCAGCAGCTGGACTATATAGTTCTAGCAGCTAAAGATTTGAAGTAAAGTAGCATTTCCGAAACTATAGCCTATTTACGTTCTCTAGGTTGAGTAAAAATGCCCGTTAAAGTCAATTTATTCTCTGCAGGATGGGCATCAAACTGTTTCAATTATTAGGTAGCCTTCTCTGAATTCCATATTGATAGCTGAGTCCAAAATGGTAGAAAATACCATTCCATTTTATCTAAAAAACAAAAAGAAAAAGAAATACAATTCCAGATAAACAATGAAGAGTTATTATCGTCCAGCTTTATCTGCCTTAGTAATGAAAACGCAATTTTCCGCCATTCGCTCAAAAGGTGTACCGTTAAGATGCCAATAACAGAACCGACTTCCAACTTCAAAAAATCGACAAAATTTAAAAATGAAACAGCGAAGGACAAATTAGATCAGGAAACCATAAGCGGCTTCCAGTTATGTGGTTACTTCTCTGATAGCAAAAACAGTTAATAAAATAAGGCCATCCCGTAAACCACTCCACACATTAGTATAGAACCCTGAATCAACAAATGCAGTAACTCAAGCGTGATGAGGACCGGAACATCATCAAATACGTGAGAAGAAATCAAATTAAAGAAAATCCGAAGAACAGTTGAGAGACCAAATATATGCAGATTTCAGAAAGAAAAGAAGATGAGAATCATACAAATTAGTAGAAGGTCCTCTATTGCAGCAAATTCTGGTACAAAGGGCCGCAATTATCCCAATCACAACGAAAATTAGCGTTGTTATCAAGAAACCCATGCCGATTATACCAGATCCTAATCAGGATATGAATTCCTGCAACGAGGGTCAAGGAAAACGAACTAATTTTACATTCCAGTACAAGCAGAAACCAAAAAATTAAAACGTAAAAATAGTTTCGAGACCGCTTACTATTGAAATGAATCACAGAATCGCCCCTTCAATTGGTGTCCTTGTGCCGAGAAAGTGCAGGAAAAGAAAAAGCAGGATTTAGGAACAGGAAGATCTTACCCGGAGATCCGAAGCTCGTCGTCGTTTAGATCTCACGGTGCTGTGGCTTGATCTGCCCACTCGCGGCATATAGATCGTCCAATGATTGAATATGAACTGGGTTGGGCTTTAAACCCACTGGGAAAGAAAAGGCCTCTTGGTTTTTGGTGAAGGAAGAAAAGGCCTCTTTTTATTTGGGTCTTTGTTGGATCCAGTGATTCTTAATTTTGAATCCAATTCCATTGGGGTTGATTAATCGAAAATTTAAAAAAGAAAAATTACATCTCAGAATTCGATTTAATATTAAATCAATTTAAAAAGTATAATTATAGTATTTAATTAAAAAAACCATTTTAATTAGGTTAGTGATATTAATTTTTGAATTTAGTCGCAATATTATTTTAAGTCTTTAAGAACAATTATAGTTTTTAACATTTGTATTTTTAATTATGTTAAACTAGAGTAATAATAATATTTCCAAAATGAGGTGTTTAAAAAATTTAGGAAAATATTATAAAAATAAAGAAAGAATAATGGAGAAGAGAAGATAAAAATATTTCTTATTTATTTAAAGTACTAAATACATGATATATGCTCTCTATTTATAGTCACAACTTTATAATTTTAAAAGAATCTACCGATTACATAATAATAAAAAATAACTATAAATCATAAAGATAAAATAAGATAATAAAAGAGATATAAAATCTATATAAATATTATTATATTCATAATACTTTTTTTTAGATGTCTGTCACATGTTATTACTAGAAAGAAATATAATTTTTGTATATCAAGAAATGAGATTATTTTAAGTGTTTTCAAAAAAAACTTATTCTTATTTGTTGACTTGAAAAACTATAATACGGATGACATGTTCCATTTATAAATACATTTTCATACATATTAAATGTAGGATAATAAAAAATGAAGATTATGTTCGAATGAATAGATAAATGGGGTGAGGGGCATGATAAATCGCACAATTCTCTATATTCATACTACTTGTTAGGTGTTTTAATTTTTTTAAATTAATTTTTATATTACTTAGAGCTAGGGATTAGTTAAAGATTAGTTAACAATTAACATTCTCATTTGAAGGCGGCAAAAATGCGAGGCCGTTGGTTTTGTAAGAGGAAGCCGTCTCTTCGATCCATGTAAGATGGAGGGGAAACGCATATAAACGAAATGGAAAACCTTTCCCCGTCTTTTTTACTTCTTTTCCCTAAAACCCTAATTCTAAAATAGCAAAATAGGATTCTCATTCCTCGTCTTATTTCACACCGTAAGATTTCAGAATAATCATGGCCACGCTTCCCCTGTCAAGCCCGACCGACCTGGTCTCTTCCTCCTCAATTGCCACTCTAATTTACCCCAGTGCGTTCTCTTCCTCTTCCTTTGTTTCTTGCAACCCCAGAAGAAAAGGTTCCTTTGAACGCCAGAGTCGTCGTTCTGTGTCCGTCAGCTGCTCCTTCGCATTGCTTGACAATGCCAAGATTAAGGTGGTCGGCATCGGTGGTGGTGGCAACAATGCTGTTAATCGCATGATTGGTAGTGGTTTACAAGTGGGTTTTTTGGTTCTTCTCCCCTTCCCTTCTCTCTTCTTTTTTGGAATTTCAAATCTTTTCCTATGCTCTTACCCTGATGAAGTTCGGTTATTTTAGAATGCTCTTTTAATTGGGCATCTAGTTAAATGAATTATCTGTCAATGTGGTGCTATCTACCTAGAAGCCTCGGTGTTTTCCTGCATCTTTAAGTGATTACTGATGTTAAACTCTGATTCTTTTTTATTAGGGAGTAGACTTCTATGCAATAAATACTGATGCCCAGGCACTGTTACATTCTGCTTCCGAGAATCCAATTAAAATTGGGGAGCTTCTGACTCGTGGATTAGGTCAGGCACTCTCTCTCATTTGTTTTGGAGCTTCCTTTATTCGACTTTCCTGTGAATCTGAACTTATGTTCATGACTACAATCTATACTTGTGTGGCCTTTGATTGAAATTACTTGATAGAGATGTGCAGGTACTGGTGGGAATCCATTGTTGGGGGAGCAAGCTGCAGAGGAATCACAAGAATTAATTGCTAATGCTCTTAAAGGTTCAGATCTTGTGTTCATAACAGCTGGTATGGGTGGGGGCACAGGATCTGGTGCTGCCCCAGTTGTGGCACGAATATCAAAGGAGGCTGGTTATTTGACAGTTGGTGTGGTTACATATCCATTCAGTTTTGAAGGACGCAAAAGATCCTTGCAGGCAGGTGTCATTTTGTTCTTATTTGGAATATGATTTCATCATTTTATCTATCTAATAAATTACATTTTTAGCATTGTTTGTCATGAATTCATGCTATAGAGAAAATGCTGGAGCCAATGGTAATGTCAGTATGAATATAATGATTAAAGTTCTGAGCTGATAGCTCACCACAGTTAGAATTCTTTGAAAACATTAGTTTGTTATTTGAAATTTTGAAACTAACTATTTAGTTTCATTTGCTCTATCTTCAGGCACTGGAAGCCATAGAAAAACTGCAGAAAAATGTTGACACACTTATAGTAATACCAAATGATCGTCTGCTTGACATTGCTGATGAGCAGACACCTCTTCAGGACGCTTTTCTACTTGCAGATGACGTTTTACGCCAAGGAGTACAAGGAATAGCTGACATCATCACAGTGAGTTTATTGTGAATAATGTAATTATGTTTTCTCAAAAATATGGGTAACCTGTCAAAAGAAAGAGCCTCCATTGAAGCCCAAAGTACTAAAGCCCTGCATTCACACATTGTTGCATTCATAATTGAACTTTTACTCAACTAAGACATGTGTATGCTGGTTTTTATCGATAATATTAATGGCTATGTCATTGATTCACAGATACCTGGGCTGGTAAATGTGGATTTTGCTGATGTTAAAGCTGTGATGAAAGATTCTGGAACTGCAATGCTTGGAGTAGGTGTTTCCTCCAGCAAAAATCGTGCTGAAGAAGCAGCAGAACAGGCTACTTTGGCTCCTCTAATTGGATCATCTATCCAGTCAGCTACTGGAATTGTATATAACATTACTGGAGGAAAGGACATAACCCTACAAGAGGTGAACAGAGTGTCTCAGGTACTAAATCATTTCATCATATCAGCACTCGTCAAATAAACATTCTGTTATTTACCTCTTCAACCTTCTGAATTAGAAATGTATCATATCAGTACAGAAATTACTCCTAGAATCATGTTGGATAATGGTTATTGATTTTATGTGACTCCAATTTGAGTTCTGCAACGTTTGAATTTTTGATATGCTTGTTCTTTTTTTCGGTGGACTGGTTTTGCAATGTCTATTGTGTCCTTTTAATACTTAATCTGCAATTTTTTATCTTATTATTATTTTTAAAGTAATGACGCCAGGAACATTTTGTGTCTTAAAAATTTATCTTTTTTTCTATATTTAATTGCATGGTAAACAGACCTAATAATATTTGACTTGCCTCAATACTGGAGCTTTGAGCCTTTGATGAACAACCCAGCACTTCATTAGAAAAGCAATATAGTTTCTACTTTCATGCAGCTGAGGATCATTAGTTCTTTCTCAGAAGGACCTAATTTAATGTCTAGGATTTTACTATTTTGTTTGCTTTTGATTGACGGTTGCCTTGTGCTGTTTTCCCTGATCATTTGCTTCCTTTCTGCATCCTCTTTCCTCGAGCTCTATCTTGAACACTGGTAATTCGCAGGTTGTGACAAGTTTGGCAGATCCTTCTGCTAATATTATATTTGGGGCTGTTGTTGATGATCGCTACAATGGAGAGATTCATGTGACTATAATCGCAACCGGCTTCTCACAGTCATTTCAGAAGACACTACTAACAGATCCTAAGGCTGCAAAGCTGGCTAATAAGAAGGATGGAGGCCAAGAAAGCAAGGCAATGTCTCCTCCACTCTCAACAGCTCCATCATCTAGAGCATCCTCACGAAGGCTCTTCTTTTAGTTGCTTGCTTAGGTCTTTTTACCTTGTGATTTTATTCTTCTGTAGTCAAGTTTTGCTGTAGTTATTCGATTGTATATTGATCTTGAAGCTTAATTGAGAGATATATTGCTGTCATTTTAGCAGGGTGAGATATGAATATGAAGCATCTGCCTCAGATTCCAAGTTGTGGTTTGTTTCTTTTTTCTTGATACATTCGGTATTAGATTAATCATTTACGAGTAACGCAAAACCCTCCGCAAGTGCTGAAACAGTTTTTTCCCCCGTTCTAGCGACATTGATCTACTATCACATCCAAAGCTAATCATAGTTCACTGAATTCTATCAAACAATAAGATAGATAGATCCTAATTACTTTATTCAAGATTAGTCGAAATTTGTAAAAACAAAATGTGGGTCCTGTGTAATGCAAGTCCAAAATATGAACATTATTTATAATTGATAAATAATATTTCTCGTTATATTTCATGAAATCAGTAAAAATTGATTTATTGCGAATCGAACAAATAGTAATTTCTAATTAATATTCATACCCCTCGTGCCTCCAGCCATCCCCGAGGTATGCAAAAATTTGATATGATGCAAGTAAAATTAATACGTTCAGAAAGACGAGACAAATTGTAGGCAAGCAATGACAAAGATTTCTCTTATATTCATGCTGCAAGAATTTTAAAACAACTTATTTACACAACGATTGAAGTGTGAGGGAAAAATGCTTATTCAAATATATTCACACTACCGTGCTACAATGTTTTTCCCAGAACAATCAAGGACAACTCTGGAACTGTAATAAAATATCAATTGATTGCATACATATCGTTCTCTCCTAGCCTACAAGGACAAACGCGTGCCCAGTAATTACCGGTATAGTATTGCACCTTTCACAAGAATATGGATGCTTCAGCTTTTGGAATAAAGGAGAATACACCGTGACCAAATATTTCATGCACAGATGATAGCAAATGTCCAGCATCGATGTCATCCTTCCAAGCCTGAGCAAGAGTTGCCGATACCTTACCTTGTTGACCTCCAACCTCTCTTCCTTGGTTTCTTTCATTTAATAACTGACGACTCACAGAGGATATGCCGGCATTAGAAGCTACCATTGAATTGGAAAATCCACCTGGCGTGCCTTGCATATCAACTGGCAAGGAGTTCATTGGCATCAAACCTCCAGAAACATCTGTTGCAATTTTCTTCAGTGGAGGTTGCTGCATTAGATTGTCTGTGCTGGCTTTACGTTTGCCTTCATTCATCGGGAAATAAGAAATGGCACAAGGATCAAAAAATTAAAAACTCAAGGTTTAATGTAGACTTAGGAAAAATGAGTACCGAAAGAAGCAACTAAATTGATGGAGAAGGTTAGTTCTAAGGGGAAAAAGTTTAAGGGCAATCACAAACTCATGCCTCAGTACCCTTTCAATGAAACGCAACTGACATATTGAAGGTTCTTAATCCATCATTTTGAAATTTCTCTCGTAGTGATGTACCAATTTACTACGTTAAGCTTCTTTGTGAAAAGGAAATCATACTTGGCGTTGCTGTGACCACTTTTCCACAGCCGCTTGAAAAAGCACGAGTAGAAGCAGGAGAGAGCATACGGCTGTAGACTTTGGCTCTTTCGTGAATACATTGGCCTGCGGCGCACTGAAATGTTTATGAGTTCAGTAATTAGCCTGAGGGATGTTCAAGAGAAAAGAACTAGATCCCTATTCAGTAAAACCTATTTATTTTATAGGATGAACTAACCAGCAATGCTCCATAAACTTGCCATGCTTCATCCCTCTTTAATGCGTTTTTCTGTTTCTCAATTTGCATTTCTGGCTCAAGAAGGAGTAGATATGCCTCAAGATTCGGAAGTATAAGCATGCGAACCTGCTCAAATTGAAAAGACACCATAACTGTCTGAATCCAATATACTGAAGGTCTTACATCACCAAAGAAGAACACATGCATGCATGCATATGATTGCAATGAGAAACAGGGATTAACAGTTGCATATATTTGAGATGCTAAAGGAGAAGCCTCTTTGTGTCTCTGGTATATCATGTCGAGCTTTTATGTAACTAACCATATTTACTCAAACAGACAGCCACACAGCTCTCTAGTTTGAGTCATAGCTCATAGCTCACAAGAAAGAAATAATTTATGTCAAAACTGAAAACAGCTTCATGAAGGTCAGAGATACCATGTTGGATCCAAGAGCTGCTATCCCTTTAATTGCACCATAATGTTGAGGTAGAGATTTTTTAGGGTCCAAGAAAGCATGAAGCAATGTCTTTGTCACACGTGGCTGAAGGTTATGATAAACATGCCCAAATCTGCGAATTTTCAGACTCAGAGAATAAGATTCAAAATACTGAGGGAACATAGCATGTTTATCATATTTCTATTCTTCTGTAATTTGAATTACTCAGAAAAAAGGTCACCCACCCTTTGCATATTGAAGCAACCAGGTTTGCACTGAAGTTTCTGAGTTCCCAGTGATTATCAGATAGTCTATTCCCTAGCCTTTTTGCAACAAGGCAGGTCATAATAGATGGCATCAGTTGATGTAACTGACAATGGAAAGACGATATTAGATGGCCAATCAAATCAAAGTCCATTTGCATTAATTACGGCTAAACATTAGTAGAGTATAACAGCCATCCATGTGTGACCCAAAAAAGGTAGAATTGTTCGGTCTATGCATGGTAACTAATAATTAATCAATCTCAGCAGAGTTTCACACGCAAAAGAAAGAAGATAATAATCATCTGGAGTTAATACGTTATAGATGTAAATGCATTTACAAAATTAGCACCATACTTACATAGGGCTCTATGTGTATGTGAGGATTTTGCGTAAGGCTCCGAACAAGGCGTATTGAAGCAAATAAAAGATTTAAATTATTTGAATTTCGAGCCACCTGAAATGATATTTGGAAAAAAGGATAAAGTTGACGAACGGATGGCTTTCAAACAAGAAATGTAGTGCACAAGGTCAAGAGAAAACAATAACATTGATAAAATCTTGACTGTACCTGATCAGCAACAAAGTATGAGAAATAAGGAACCAAAGGATGGAGCCCTGAATCTGTTGCCAAGCTAATTAATGCTCTATTAAAGAGAACGGTATTTGGCTTGTTTAATATCAGCTCAGTTATTTTGTTGAAGTAAAGCTGTAGAGGAAAACAAAGTTTATAGAGGTTTACCATAAGAAAATGAAACCCAAAAAAAAAAAAAAAAACTGTGCATGCAGTATGATAGTTAGTGCATACCTGAAGCTCTCTTGAAATTACATGTTTAACAGGTAATTTAATATCAACAGGAAGTCCATCTTCCTTATAGTCGGGTTTTCTTGTGTCAAAGGGAGCTGCAAGTAACCATAAAACAGACTGAAATGACAATGGAAGGGAAAATCAAAGGACTGAAACGACAATGGACAGGAAAATCAAACTTTGCCATCATAATATTATGGCTCGTAGTAATTAAAAGAGAATGCACATTATAAATTCAAAATTTTGCATTGCAAAAAATCAAGAGCATATAGCTGGCAGGTGGTAATGCACCTACATCCGGTGCACTAGGGACATGCATATAGTTTAATTGCACCTCAGTTGATAAAAATACCTTCAATTGGAGCGTTTTCAGGAATTGCAGGCTGTACGCCTTCAATTGCCAGCCAATGAGAGGCAACTGACGTATCAAGAGGTGCTTTTGGCAGTGGTGCTTCAATCACCTATTCAAATTGGGAGCAATGTCAAGATTGAGAATCATTTCAGAAAGTGGCTCGACCTTTTTAGTACACGAATCTTATACTTAGTGGATACTTACATCCTTAAATTCAACATCTTTGTCATCAACGTAGAACAAATCCTTGTGTCCATCAGCTCTTTTGAACCGCAGAGGATCATTAGAGGTGAAACCATATATTGGCTGATAAATAAATGCAAGAAGTAAATGAAACCAAAAAGAGTATCATAAGAAAAACAGCAATTCCAACATAATGAGAGCAGATTGGAACTGGCATTAAAGATTTTATGGGTAAACACTAAACATAAACACAACACACCAAATAGAGAAGCACATGGTAACTTTCCTAGCATGCTACAATTTACCGCCCACACATGCTTACACTGGCAGAGACATGACATCTTTATGTAGATATGCCACCACGGCTTTATAGGTTCCCAGCTCACAAAAGCCAAGCCAGTCATAAAGGACGTGAGTTCATGTGCATGAACTGTACAAAAGTCTAGCCTCTTGAAGCCCAATTTTCAAAGGGAGATTACAGACTACACGCATGGTCAAATTCACAAAATTTTTGGACCAGCACTGCAGAATTTTTTACCAATCTACAAAGCATCAATGGTGCCATTCACTGTAATATGACATCTCTACCATTGAACTATGGCACATACCAATCACGCACTGAAGCATCATCAAAAATCTTAAACTGAAAAGTGTGATCCTATAAACTAGTCTAACACTTCCTGGTTCCAGCACACTTCTTGTACCTGCTTGTCAAACAAATTCAGAGACATACTTAACGGAACTCCCATATGCAGCTTTTTGAAATTTTGTTTCTGATAGTTATATGGTGTGTGTGTGTGTGTGTGTGTGAGTGATGTGAAGTGTAAGAATCTCTCACATGTTTTGACTATGTTAGATTTATCTATTCATCTATTATCAAGGGTCTTTAAATGAAATTTACATTTTCTTTGAACAAGATCGTAACATTGTTGTGCCGTTACTTTCCCTTTCCTTTTCCTTTTCCTTTTCTATCCCCACTACGCCGCAACTCCCTCAAGGCATATTTCCAGAGAAGTGTTTCGGGTAAAAAAGAAAAAGAACAAGAACAAGAAGAAGCAATTTTTTATGCAAGGAAAAGAGGAGTGCTTGGATAAGCTGAATTGAATAACAAACATGATGCAAAACAGAAAATAATCCATCTGAATCTGACCGGTTGTCCATGAACTCTTACCTACTAAACCAAGAGATAATATTGGGAAAAAAGCTCGTACGTGTGGAAAGATTTAAGCATGGAACTACCATTAAAATGTATCCATGGTCTTTTCAAATTCAATCGAGGTTACCATTCCTAACATGTAACTGACACTAATAACAGAGACACAGCGTAAAGCAACTTACCTCCAGATTTCTTAATTTAAGTGCACTATCCACATCATCTGACGTAAGAACAGTTCGCTTTGAATGGCGCATGCATTTTATAGACTCCTATACATGAGAATGAACAAAGAGATTTGTCATCCACTAGCACTAGCACATGATCAACACAAACCACTTGAACATTCTACTTAATGACAGCTCTCAAGTGGCCCACATTTTACATTTAAATTTGCCCAAACAAGGGCGTTATCGTAGCTGCTTCTTAATAGTTAATACCTGCATAATTTCGCGAACCCTGTACTCCACATCGGGAGCGAGAGCGAGGGCGACATCAGGAGACAAATTGGGGATGCCAATGCTCTGCGCAATGACTTCAATTGACTCTTTCGGAACGGCACTCATCTCAATTCACCTTCTTTGCTAATCAATCAATGGTCGCAGAGGCCTTCCACAGATTTGGCAGAACAATCAACAAAAACCTAGCTGAACACTAGCATAATAAATAATTCAGGTTTCCAGTAAATGAAAATCGAATAATCAAGTGGCTATATTTGTCCAAGACTCAATTAGAAGCATTCTGCATTTCCCGTCCTGAATCGGACAGTGTTGGTTGAAATAAATGAAAAAAAAAAAAAGAGGAAAATAGGGAATTTGATGCGTTTAGGACAATCAGGACTGCAAAGCGAGGGAAACTTTAAATAAACATTATTTTTTGAAAAAAAATAGATAAATATATTGTTAATTACAGATGTTAAGAACAAATTTTTGGCCACCAAATAAAAATGTTAATAATAGTTAAACATTTTAAAATATTATAAAATTCATTTTTAAAGACTGTCAAGATGGAAATAAAATTATACGGAGTTATATGAAATATGGGAAGAAAGAACAGAAAACTTTTGAAGAAACTTATATGAATCTTAACGTGACTTACATTATTTATAACATCTTTATATAAATTTTATATAATTTGATTTAAATAATTATTTAAATTAGAAGTGTAATGCCAATGAATTGGGTGTTGTAGCCAAATGTTGTGTTTAAAGAAGTGTTTGAATAGAAACCAAACCATGATTTTAGAAATATTTTTACGGTTTACGAAGTAAAGTAAATATATGAAAAATTTGTCTCGTTTTGCAAAAAAGTACTTCTAAATCCATAGTTTTGAAGGTTGCCAAACACTAAATTGTTCAAGAAAAACTGCATCCCTTCTTAGAATTAAACCAAGCTGATTATAAAAGCTTTTGCTAGTTTCGTTCCTTGTTTGTAATGAAACTCTTGTAAATATTTTTGATTAATAATACATCTTTTCACTCCAAAAAAAAAGAAACTACATCCCTTCGTAATGTAGTTTTTCCCCCCCTAAAACGTCGATTTTTCTCTAAATATCCTGATTTAAAAATTTCTAATTAATTAAACATGTTCACTAACTAAGCAATCTCTTCTAATTAATAAATTTTATTAAAGACCATTCTGAAATTTTATAAGAATTGATTAGTTCTTAATTAATTTTTTTAATATAGATAAAGTTAATAAGTACTTATAAAATACATTGGAGGAGTATTGTTAAGAAGCCAGCATGGTTCATACAATTTTGGTTCCAAATAGTCTTAAAACGATTGACATGTACATGAGCAGTAAATTTTCTCATCACTGATGTTTGTTGAAGTTAACCCTACGCACATACGAACACTTCAAGATAGAATGAATTTTAATTGAATGATCATTATTTTAATAAGATTATTTATTTTAAATAATATCCCATAGATAATTTCAGGAGAAAAAGGAATAATTTGAAATATATAGCAATCCCCTGGAAAAAAATTATTTCTAAGGGATTATTTGAAACAGCCATATCGACGACTTCGAATGCTTTTAACGAGACTCAAACCAAATATAGAGCAATCCATCCTACATTGCCGTAATGAAGAACGTATACTTTCATATTATGCTGGAAAAGTAGAGATTCAACCTGGGGCTGCCAATGAATCCATTCAATGCACATATCCACGGAAAGAAGCAAGAAATTTACTCCGATTCATCATTCAAGGTTACCATGACATGTGGAAAAATATTTTTACAATAGTCAACGAATCAATGGAATATTTAGAAGGGCCAAAAAAAAAAAGGGAATATTTAGAGGGAAAAAACTACCCATACCACGCGTTAGGATAACATTTAAAATCTAAATTGAAACCTTCTAGGAAAATCTACCAGAGTTCAGTTTTAAAAAAAAAAAACAGAGAAAACCTACCAGAGTTACGTCCAAAGAAAAATGGCATCCCAGGTTCTGAGATAGGAACCAATATTAATGTCTGGGCCTTCTGGCTAGGAACAAGTGATCAAGTGATCAAGTGCAGGCTTAAGCATTCACACAATTACAAAATAGATAGACAGCAGACACGCACACAACAGTAGAATCTGCCAGTAAGCATATAGTTATCTTACAAAGCCTTCCAAGACTTCAACGACTTCAAAGGCGGTGACAAATCACTCATAAAAAAAGTCAGGAAACCCAGTTACAGTATAACAACTCACAACAAGACACATAGGTGAGAGGAGAAGGCAATCGAGTCCCTGAATCAGTATCATTACTTTTTTTGCCAACTCCAGAATCAGTATCCTTACAAAAATTTGATCAACAGAAATATAACACCAACCAAAACCACTATACCAACAACTGCTAAAAGCAAACACAAGCAGGAGCAACCACCCTTCGTACGCTTATTCAAAACTGCCAAGTTCTTCTGCACCCTCTGTTTCACACCACAAAAGGAACAATAAAGGCATGCTTTTTAACCAAAACTTCAACAATATTGAATTATCACTTTTCAAAAGACAAAACAATATCAGTACGGATATATTGAGTAAATTGCAAGTTATTTTATCAGATAAAGTTATAGAATAAAATGTATGTGTTACCCGCAGCCGAGAATCTGTAACATCTACTTGCTGGTCCAAGTCATCCTGACAGGGAAGTCAACAGGATTCAATTTTAAAGACACAGATAAAGATGGGCCAACAAAAAGTAGGAAGAAAAGCACATCTACAATTTGCAGAGAAAGGGAGCATACAATGAGTCTTGTGTGTAAATCCAGTTCTTCATTTACAGCCAGTGCAATATGTTTTGTACTTGTTACAGTCTGCTCCAATTTCTCAAGGCCCTCATCTTGCTCTGATTGAGTACCATTCCAGATCAAGATCCAAAGTATAAAACTACAATATATTTGAATTTTCAAACTATTCAAATTAACTGACCGCTCATAATTTGCCGTTGAAGTCCAACAAGTCCACCGTTATCCAAGCCAACTGTTCTGGTCATGGCATCAGCCGGTTTTGTATCTGGTCCAAGCAAACTATCCCTGTTTGCAAAGCCAGACATATTCAATGTTGATGCCATTTGGTTAACTTTTGACCTCAAATTTGCAATCATGTCCTTACGCCGATTCAGCTCCTTGTCAGATCTGTCATCATCAAATGAGGCTTCAGATAAAGATAATGAAACTTTAAGATCTAGGGAAAGAAAAAGGCACTGCCTTTACTATGGCCTCTTGGTTAGTACCAGAATAGAGTATAGCCCTAGAGACATCCCAGCAAAGAGATCACTGTGACAAGGAATATTCTTCAAAACATTAATTTCAAAAATTGAAAGTTCAGAGGATTGGAGTCACCGAACTCTCTCTGCTGTGATAGCAAGACCCATTCTTACTGACAAAAAAAATCAATTATTAAACACTCACATAGGCTGTTTCCCAGGAAGCTTTGACAGAAGGGATTGCAAGCTATCAAGTCTAGTCCCTAATATTGTTATCTTCCTTCTTATAGCAGATGCATGGCGCTGGGTTTCAGGTCCAGATGTAGCAAACGAAGTCCGTTCAGAAATCATGCCACTGATATCATCAGCAAGTTTCACGGCTTCATTATATTCCTTCATCCATGAGTCTGAAGACGATGCCATTGGCCTGACAAAAATTGACAAAATAAATCATTGCTAGGTGAAAAGAATACAGTATCTACACGCAAACGGTAAGCAGGATGTCACATTAAGTGATGTAACCTAGAATCTAGGATTATCAACCAAAATTCAAATATTATCTGGCAATATAGAGAACTTTTCCAATCCATATGATAAGCAAGATACATGTTAACAAAATAGTCCAATGTCCAAAAGGATTGCAATCTACCACCCTCTGGATGCATTGAATAACCGTGGAGACATTACAGCAAGCTTGTCTTATTCAACTAAGGTATATTCATCTCAAGCAACAGCACAAACAAATAAATTTCTTCCGGGAAACAACAAATTTTCAAGCAACCAAACAGAATATAAAGAAAAATAAAATAGTTTGCACCGATGATATAAAGATAAGGTGAACTTTATCCACCACTAGATGAATTTACAGTTCTACACCATTCTACTTTAGGTGTTTGGTTAACATTCAAATTACTTCTATAAGTAAAACACGGTATCTCATGGGCGTAAGTTAAAACTAATGCTTGTCACCGAAAAAAAAAATTAAAACTAATGCTCCCTGTATGATTTGCAGCAAGGAAGAGGTATCAATTTTATGTTCTCACCAGCTATTGAAAAAGGATAGAAATTCCCATTCAACAGAGAAATTATATGATATTCAGTAAATATTTTGATGTCTGATCAAGTCATCTATACTTCAACAACGTCCCACCGAAGTGATCAATTATATTGATGCACCAGAAGAGCTCATAATTAAAAAAAATTAAGAATTTGAAATTTATACAAACTAGAATTAATTCGTTTGAGGATCGCCCTGGGGATTGGGGGTAGGAGATAAAAGTGATAAACCAAACTATTCCCAACAACCGTAGGGCCCCCGGGCAATAAACCTCCTAGAACACCATAATTGACATATAAATGAAATCAAAAGATCAGGAAACAACACATACGTCCCCTTAAAACGCCATTTTCAGCACATTTACGTAATGAAATTTGAAAGATTCTGCCCTAAACAACATACATAGGTTCAACAGATCCAAGATTTCAATTCGAAAGGAAAATCGACCTCCGATTGAACAAACGGAATAGGGTGCACCTTTAAGGAGGCGAGAATTCTCGTCTGGGGGATTCTAGAGGATGGGGGTTCGAGGATGGCGATCAATTTAATATCTTCTACACGCGATCAAGATTCACAGAGCGTTACGTACGGCTCGACCACCAACCGGCGACTTTTGTCCGCTCCCGTCGTCGTCTACCTCGCCCAAGTATGAAGCCTTGCCGTTGAAAATGCTTTATCACCGCCGTGTCGTTTTTCGTGGCGATTGCGCGATAAGCATCGTCACATGCTTCTTTTCTTGGTTTCGGCAGCGATTTGATGCGGGAACGCACAGGGAGCGATTCCTGCTCCCCGCACGTGTTTCATTTCATGATACGTATCTGGTTTTTTTTACACCAGTTTCATGGTACGCATCAAACCGGATACATGCTACCACGCCACCTTTTAACGGTAGTATATAGATTCAGTTAGCTAATTTCAAAAAATTAATAAAATTAAAAAATCATTTAATTATAATTTATGTTACATTTTTTTTAAATATTTATGTGTATAATTAGATTAATTTTTTTAAAAAAGATTGATTTGAGTAGATTAAGAAAATTTATTAATACTCTTACTATCATGTGATGAAATATTTAAAATGTACAATTAATATAGAAACTAATTTTAAATAAATAAATAAATAAATATAAAAAACAAAGTATATTATCATCTTATATTTATGATTAAATTGAATATTAAGCATAAAAGGTAATATATAATTATATTCATCAAATGAATTAAGGGTGAGTATTCAGTTTTTCGGTTCGGTTATCAGTGATAACTGAATTAACCAAATAACCGAATAAAGCAAATTTTAAACACCGAACCGAAATCGAACTAACCGAAATATTTCAATTTAGTTAACCAGTTAATCGAAACATATAAATATAAAAAGTGATTTTAAATTAAAAATAATAATAAAACACAATTATAACCATTAATTAATAAATATTTCATCATTCAATGTGATTTATTATAACCATATTTATTGAATATAAATATATTTAAAGAGTTCATATAAACCCACATATATATATTTATTATAATAATATTTATTAAATATAAATATATAATATATTTATTTCGGTTTTTCAGTTATAACTGAAATTTTTTTTTCTACTAACAGAACTGAACACCAAAACCGAATTATTTGAAAAATAAAAACTGAATATGTAACCAAAAACTAAAATAACCAAACTGAAAAACCGAAATTAATTCAGTTGATTTGATTTTCAGCTATGGTTTTGTTTTGTTCACCCCTAAAATAAATGGTGCCATTTCTTTCAAATTTCGCACAGGAACATTAGGTCGATGAGGAATCAAGTTTGGAAAAGTAATCAGCGGTTGATCAATCGCCCAATGAACATTTGCAAACATACTATTATAGCCGTTAACAAGATTTTTGTTCTAGGAAAGGAATTATATCTCCCGCTCATTACTTGTTGGGAGTATTTAGATTAGCTTTTTAAGAGTAATTTTATAATATATATAAAATATTCACAGAGAATTTTGTTTGATTTATATGAAAGTATTTCTGGAAAATTGATACAAACCCAAGTTGAATTTTTACTAGTCACCCAAATTTTTATCAGTAGCCATGCCAACAAAAAAAGATCATTTCAAAGCAATTTTTTAATTTTTTTTAGAAGTGGTGATATGTTGCCACATTAGTCGACTATCTATTAAATACTACTTCCGGTTTTTAATACTATCTCCGATCCTAATTATAAGAGCTAGTTGACTAATTTGAAGAGATTAAAGAAGTAAGTTGAGTTAGTTATTTGTCCTAAATAGGTGTTGTTTTTCCTAAAATATCTTTGATAATAAAGTGTATTGACTAAAACTATCATTGTTAAAAAGGTTGCTTTGGAAAAAAATGTATAAATATGAGAGACAAAATGGATTGGGATCTTATATTTATGACCAAAATAAAAGTCAAACAGGGTCTTATATTAAGGACCGGAGGTAGTATAAAAACTCGTTTGATTTTTCTTTCGGTCTTAAATATAAGATCTCAATCCACCTTGTCTTTCATATTTATTTATTTATTTCAAAGTAGTGCGTATAACAATGATAATTGTAACTAATACACTTGATTAGTAAAGATATTTTAGGAAAGATAATACATATTTATAACGAACTTCCTTAATCTGTTCAAATTAGTCAACTAACTTTTATATTAAAAAATGGATGTAGTATAAGAACTATTACCTATGATCTACAAATGAGATATTATAAATAGAATCGAAGGTAGAAGTTAACCAATTTGAGTAAGTTGAGAAAATTAGTTAAGTTAGTTATTTGTAATAAATATGTACTTTTTTTCCTAGTATGTCGTTGTTAGTCATGTGTATTAGCTAGAATTACCACTTAATAAAACATTTAACATTTACAATTACTATAAATACTGCAGTGAAAAAAATGAATAAATATGAAAGACAAAGTAAATTAAGGCCTTATATTAAGGATTAAATTAATAATATCAAACCAGCTCTTATATTAAAAACTAGAGATAATATTACTAAGAAAATGTGTTTAGTTGTTCTTTAGTTTGGTAATGAAATTTACTTTTAATTAAAAGCAATAAAGGTGTCGCGTCTATTGCCTCCCATCTTTCACTATCGTCATCTCCTCCTGTTTTGATCTCTTCCATTCTATTATCATCATCTACTTCCCAGTGAACATCTTCCTCTGAGGAGGTTTATTTTCCATAAATGTCTTTTTCTAGAGAGGTGTTTAAATAGAAACCAAATCATAATTTTAAAAATGTTTTTACAATTTATGAATTAAATATATAGAGGGGTTTATTTTGTTTTGCCAAAAAATATTTCTTAAAAGTATTTCTGAGAGTTATCAAACACCTCCTAAATCTTATTTCTTTGCAGATAGTCAGATTTGCGAACAAACTAAGATTTTCACGCTTCTGTGGGATTTGTATTAGCAGATATGCTCAGATTTGCTATTTGCTATTTTTTTTTTAAACACGTTGTCATGTTATTCTTAGTTATAAGAGCCATAAAAAGGCATCGTTCATCAACATGCACAAGTTACAAATAATGCAATTCATTGGGAAATTATTTTTCTTTTTGGCATAATATGAATTGAGAATGATAATGAATCAAATAATACGCCGACAAAATGATATACTCTTCTGGTCCTTATTATAAGACCCCATTTGACTTTTTATTTGGTCCTAATTATAAGACCCCAATCCATTTTGTCTCTTATATTTATGCATTTTTTTCAAGATAATCCTTCTAATAATGATAGTTTTAGTCAATATACTTAATTAGCAAGGATATTTTAGGAATGACAACATTTATTTATTATAAATAACCAACTTAACTTATTTTCTTAATCTCCTCAAATCAGTTAATTGGGTCTTATAATTAGGACCGGAGGAGTATAAGATTACAAATTAAATTAAACTGCATCAAGTCTAGTGTACGATTCAATATGTGGTTAATAAATGAGATAACATATTCCGGCATAAGTTTTCTGTGTCTCTTGTTTCTTTTTTGATTAAATCGGAATCAATATTTTTACCCAAAAAATTGGCATGAATATAATGCTATTTATTTTAAACTTATTTGTCATATCAACTCATTTTATTCCACCTACAAATAATACTCCTCCGATCCTTAATATAATACTCATTTAACTAATCTGATTAGATTAAGAAAGTTAGGTAAGTTAGTTAATTATAAGAAAAGTGACACATTTTTTCCAAAACACCATAATCATCTTTCTTAATACTCCTTCTCTCTTTTACTTGATTATAGTTGATGAAATATCCATAGGGGTAATTTAGAGAAAATTGATAAATATGATAAACGGGTCTTATATTTAGGACTAAAATTAACTCAAGAATTGAATCTTATATTAAGAACCGGAGGAGTATCAAATTAGTTAAAATTAATAAAAAATAACGTGTGTGTATATATGTGTGTGTAAGAATATACTTTTTTTTGTCCTAAATACATTTAGGGTAAGTGAGAAAGATAACAAGTAAGAAAATGAATGAACAAAATGTATAAAAAAATATAATGAGAGAGTTTACGAAAAAAAAAAGAAAACAATAAATAATTAGAAGTAAAATTTAAAAAATATTAAATGTTAAAATAAATTTAAATTAACCTCTTGTGTTTGAAATACGGTTAATCAAATGAATTAATCCTGCTACGGGCTAGGGAATGATCAATGAATCAAACACTCGAGCTTATAGATAAAATTACAAATTAAAATTAGGGAAAACCATATTGAAGGTACCTATACTTTCTCTCAATTTTGAATTTGGTACCTATGTGTTTTTTTCCCTTTTAATTAAACATTTAATTTTATCTTTTTAGCAACATTAGCTCTTATAACTTTGTTCTATTGATATTTTTAGTCTCTACATGAGGATTAATGATATTAATAGAGCAAAATTAAAGATTTAGTTAATAACAAAAAACACATAGGTACCAAATTGAAAATTTAAAAAAAATATAGGTACCTCCAATATGGTTTTCCCTTAAAATTAAACTACAGTGAAAAAGAAAGTGTCCCGCACGACCCCCTCGCAAATAGGGAAACCCAGAAACGGACCACAAGCAGTGATATTCATATTTCCCGGACAGCGAAGCGAAGACCTGTGTGGGTCACATAGATTCAATTGAGACAGCCAGGGGGCGGGGGAAGCTGGCTGCGCCTCTAGGTCCGGCGAAGTAGGCTAGAGGGAGTGAGATAGAGAGAGACGTAGAGAGTAGGAGAGAGATGTCAGACCTAGACAGGCAAATAGAGCAGCTGAAGAAGTGCGAGCCCCTCAAGGAATCGGAAGTGAAGGCTCTTTGTCTCAAGGCCATGGAAATCCTCGTCGAGGAGAGCAACGTTCAGAGGGTTGATGCCCCCGTCACCGTGAGTAGTCGTTTCCGTCGCTGGGGTCACTCTATTTTTGTTGTGCCCTTGTTGTGGTGTTTGTTCGATTTGCTTAAACCGAATGCTGTCTCGTTGGTATGAACTTGGTGGTTTTGATTGATTTCTTGTTTGTGATTTTCGCCGGTGGGTTGGGTTTCTTTCCTTTTTTCTTTTTTTTGTTATAATTTGAGCTGAAATGAAGCAAGAAGTTGCTTCGTGATGATTTTTCGTTGGGCGCTACTGTTAAATCTGGTCTCCCGACACTGCAATAAACTCTGGCCTACTAAATTAAATATACGGTTGTAGGATTAAAATTTTACGTTACATAAAGTAATGACACAACGCGCTATTTTTTGGATAAAGTAAGTTGGTTCCGTTAATGTTGATCCTTTAGTGGAACCAGGTGGCTTTTGTGCCCTTTTAAGTTAGTATTTAGTAGTGTTTATTTTTCTGCCAAGATTCTGACTTTGATATTGTTGTAATGGGACTAATTAATTGGTTGTTGTCTCAATCTTAACATAGATATGTGGTGATATCCACGGACAATTTTATGACATGAAGGAGCTATTCAAAGTAGGAGGTGACTGCCCCAAAACAAACTACTTATTTCTTGGGGATTTTGTTGATAGAGGATTTTACTCAGTTGAAACTTTTCTACTTCTGCTGGCTCTGAAGGTGATAATCTTAAATTTCTCTCACCAACTTTTGTTTTCGTTAGACCCTCCACTCAGATGCATGCTGTGTTGTTATTTGGAGGCTCTTCTAACTTTCTGGTGTTTATCTATTTATGCTTTTGAGTTTTCATTAAATTTGTCTTGTGCCTTTTAGCAAGTTCAAAATATATCAGTCAGCTTATTCTCCAAGGCTTTCACATAATAATTAGTTAATAGTGTCTTACGTGGTGCATGTGGATCTGTCTGTGAACACCTATTTTCTATTCCATGAATTAAAATCTGCAAGTCTTTGTGCTTGATGATACAATGTGATGAAAGATTTAAATGTCTGAAAGAAGTTTTTGGGGGGAATGTGATTTGGAGAATGAAGACAACTTATGGTTGGGAATTGGAGATTAAAGACAACTTATGATTGGGAATTCTATTTTGGAATTATTGAAGTTGATTAGATAAAATGTTGGCCGCAATTATTGGAATTAATGCCCCATTGCGTGTATTTGAACTCTATGTCTGGAAGTGGAAGTGGAATTGGGTTCTTTAATTTTGGGTGTTTGGTGTGTTTAGATGAACCTCATTCCATCAAAATGCCTAGAATTCAGTTCCATCTTAGGCGTGATGGAACTGGCTTGGATTCCATTGAACCATATTTTTTTAAGACAATTATACCCCTCCCCTTTTGTTGTCACCGAGGCCTTGAAAAGTTAGAACCAAAGTGTGTGATGGCGAGGAGAGCAGCAAGTAGACAAGGTGCTGCCTCCATCATGGTCATCGGCATTGGAGTTCTTGGCACCAGCAACTTGTGATTTCCCGTAAAGGAATTTTCAACATCACCAGTGAAGTCATCTTTCTCGCCATAGATGTTTTGTAGGGATATGATCTCAGGGTTTGTCATCTTTCGGTTCTATGGTTCAATCTGTGCAGAAGATACAATCTTCACACCCATGAATGCGAATCTGGTTCAAATTCAATTGTCAATCTGTTCTGGGGGCTTTTGTCTCTGCAATTTTGGCTTTCGGAAAACATTGAGACATCAATATTGGCAATTATCTAAATGAGAGATGAAATCTGGTTTTGATTCTTGTAATATTGTTCTGATTTTCTTTATGGTTTGAAACCATGGTTCGAACTCTGCTTTTGATATTTTCCCATTCTAGCTTGAATTCTATCTTTGTTGGTTGATGTTCTATGGGTTCAATTTCTAGATTGTTGTTGTTAATTTTTTTGATTTCTTGATTTCTGGAATGTTGCTCCTTGGTTCTGGTGGTCTCCAATGGTGATTTAGTTGGTCGCTAGTGGTGGCGCTTGCAGCTCTTTTACTGGCCTTTTTCTTTGTTTAAAGGATATTTTAGTCATTCTATATTGTAAATAAACACTTCAATTAAATATTATGTAAGACTTCTATAGACATACTAAACATGCTTTCAGACTTCATTTCCATTCCACTTCCATTTCCAATTCCTTATAAATCTCTTCCAAGATGCCAACCGAGGGATACGCTTCTTGGTGGTGGTAGTAGAGGATTTTTTCTAGGATGTTTTGAATGGTCGTAGCCATAGAAGGAACTAGTTCCCGATTCTTCAATTCTTTAATACACTTGACACTTATCTGTTCATTTATTATGTCATAACCCTTGAATTTGATTACACTGGAACTGAGACAAAAGATAGATGCAGTGGACCATAATTAGGCGCCAGACATAAACATATATAAATGGGCTTTTATCTCATTCATAATCATTCAGGCTCTTTATATAGAAATTAGATTGATGAGCAAACCTTTATTCAATTAATTATTGGCATTGGTTATCTTATAAGAGCCCATTCATCTGGATCATTGAACTCTGCCAGGCACCAACTGGGTTGGGGCTGCTGCATTGCCAGAGTTTTATCATCATAGGTTATTGCTGATTTTGAGCCAAAATGCACTATTTAGCATTCTTTTTTATGGGGCTTTGTGCTGTCAGGTTCTGTTGGCATTGAACTAAAAATAGCTTCTTTATAAATGTATTGTTACTTTGTTAGTAATAATTATTCTCTTCTTTTCTCACAACTAAGAAATTGCATACTATCAGGTGAGGTATCCAGATCGAATAACACTCATCAGGGGTAACCATGAGAGCCGTCAAATCACACAGGTTTGTTTATTAACCAAAATGGAAGCTTGGAAGGATTGTCAAATATATATTGAATATTATAAAAAATAAAGTAGGGCTTAAGTTTTTGTTTCTTTAGACCACTTATTGGATATTCATCTTGTGAGTCATGACAGGTATATGGATTCTATGATGAGTGCCTTCGTAAATACGGATCAGTCAATGTCTGGAGATATTGCACTGATATATTCGACTATTTAAGGTTTGTGAATATCTTATGCATATATGCTTATGGGAAAAATACGGGCCAGCTCACTGCCACTAAATTTGTTAATATTTGCAAGATTTATAACTTTGTGTTTCAAAGCACTGGCATGACAGTGAAAGTGTATATGGATTTAAAATACCAACAATTGCATTATTTTCTTTTTCCTTCTCAAGAAAAATGACAATTATTTGCACGTAAAATTTATAACAATTTCACTGAGGTCATAATTTCAAGGGCCAAGATATAGTGGTGATTATAGAGACCAATAGAGCATTTACAACATGACGTGCTACAAGTTGTTCAAGGGTATAGTTGACCAGTGATAAAATGTTAATATTAAGCAGATGGACGGGTAGGTATTTGCCTATTTTAACTAGTCAACCATGAAAAACTAGAGTTTGGACTGGATGCATTTTACTTATGCTGCTTATAAGAGAACATTAAGATGTGATATCTTCCGCAAATGGCATCTCAATGTTAATAATGAATTAATGTCCAACTGCAGCTTGTCAGCTCTAATTGAAAACAAGATTTTTAGTGTTCATGGCGGTTTATCTCCTGCCATCTCTACATTGGACCAGGTTAGAATCTCTACCCTAACTAATTGGCTTTTCAGTATTTTAAGATTTGTATAAAATACGAGTCATATCTTATATATATACATGTGTGCACACAGATACGGACTATTGATCGGAAGCAAGAAGTACCTCATGATGGAGCCATGTGTGACCTTCTTTGGTCAGATCCTGAAGATATTGTAGATGGATGGGGTCTAAGTCCCCGTGGTGCTGGTTTCTTATTTGGTGGCACTGTTGTTTCTTCTTTTAACCATTCCAATAATATAGACTATATTTGCCGTGCTCATCAGTTGGTTATGGAAGGGTATAAATGGATGTTCAATAACCAGATAGTTACTGTATGGTCGGCTCCGAATTATTGCTACAGGTACGTTGACAATTTAAATGTCTGCCCGGACCCTGCCCGGACCATCTACGTTCACTAAACATTTTTTTGGTGAATGTAGAGGATGCTTTCAGAGAGAGAGATACAGAGGGGAAAAAAATTAGAGTGCTGGACCTCATACCTAGTTATGAGATATAGGTCCCTTACACAATTACATTTTTTTTGTGTCACTCCCTCTCTTAATGCCCTCTCCACATTCATTATGTGAATGGAGAGGATCCAAGGGCTTAAACGTAGTTTGCTTGTGCACTTAAATTTATGCCATATGAAATCTTTTTATTTGTTTCAGATGTGGTAATGTGGCTGCAATTTTGGAGTTGGATGAAAATCTAAATAAGCAGTTCCGTGTTTTTGAAGCTGCTCCACAGGTTTGTAGACAAAATCTCTTTTAATATTGATTATCTTCCTAAATGTAGTCCATAAGGTTAGTTATTGGTAATTAGACCTGGGTAAGATCCTTTGGGTGTTAGCTATGAGATTCTCTTTTGAAAATATGACATGGACATTTTCCCCAAGTCAGCACTAGACTATTTATTGTAAAAGCATAATTCTTCAAAAGTTATACGTTTGAGTGAACTTGAGAATAGCACTCAAGGATTGTGTGATTTATTTCCTTGAGAATTTTTATTTTCTTTGACGGTAAACTTTGTCTCATAGTGGATAATGCATATTCTCTATTGCTTCATGCCTTACTTCTCATTATGAATTTCTGCCCATGAAAATTTATTTGTATCTTGAATTGGCAAATTGATTTTTACAATGCTTGGTATTCAATGAAACACAGGAATCAAGAGGCGCGCCTGCCAAAAAACCACCGCCTGATTACTTCCTGTGATAGAGATTTTTTTGTTATGACCTAAAATGCTCAAGTTGATAAGTAGAGACTTGCATGGAGGGGATGATTCTGCCCAGCACAGAATCATCAAAATCAAAACGTCGGTTCCTGAGGCAGTTCTTTGTCCCCAGCAATGATAGCCGTATATTCATGGGGTTGCTTTTCCTGTCCGCTTTTTCCTCATCCATCTTTATTTTTTTGGCTTATTATTGGTGTTGTGAATTAGTTGTGATTTGCAATATAGGGTTGTTATCTTTGGTCACCTAAAAGTAGTGGGGGATAAAGGTTACAGGGTTAAAATTCTGTTTGCATAGGAGGGAACTTTAATGAGGAGAAATGGGTTGCGTCAGAGAGAACGGAGTCAGTACTCTCCAGATTATTTGCGGAAAAGCCGCAGACGAATTGCATATTGATTTCATAAATTTTTTTTATGGTGATTATTTTCAAGTTATGTGAATATACCGTTGCTAAAATTTTACTTTCTTTTTTTTCTGATAGCAAAATTTTACTTCTGTTGGAGTTGCGAAAAGCTTGCACCAGTACAGGTTCATGGAACCAGTGTAGGATTATTTTTCAACAGAAACTTGAGTATTCTTGGGGGAGAAATTGACATTTGGTGCATAACCAGCTGGTCCAATAATCCCAAAAATCAATAAAACTTGCTGAAATGGTTATCATGGACTCTACAAAATGCGTTCGTTTTATATTTTTAAAATTGCTTATGTGATATGCTAGCAAATGATTTGCTAATAGCTTAAAAGTTGTTTATTGCAAATTAAACCTTATAACATGCTCGAAAATCCAAATAGATAATTATATTTGTTTGAACATTCCTTTATCAAACACCGCTGTGCAGCATCATAGAGGGTCATCAGTTTCTCGAAAGCTCCATCAAAACTGCGTTCTAACGCTGGTAGAACCCAACAATAAGAAAACTGGAGTTGCAGTTTCAAAGATCAAGATCACTCACTGATGCAAAAGAAATGCAATATAAGACTCAACCATCCATCAGCAAACGGATGGATGATAACTGATAAGCCTGACCCAAATATGTTAATAAAATCCCTTTTAGCCGCATCTTCTCCTTGTCCTGTGGGCTCTGCTGAGCAAACAATTTCTGAGGCATCTACCTGTAAAAGGGAGAATCTTTTGGTTCAGAATCAGAAGGGCTTCCTCATTTGCAATTGTCAAAACAAGTTGGACAAGATGAACTGAAGGGAATCTCATGTTTGATTTTATGATATCAAACTCCGTGACCGATGTGTTTCATCACATATCAAGTTCTGCAACACGACAGCTCTTTAATGGCAGATCAGAAAAGTCCGGGAACGGGAACAAGTACTGATTAGAGAGACCAAACACTGCCTTGTATTCAGATGGCTGGAATGCACTGGAATTGGCTGGTGATCTGGTACAACTTGTTCCTTTTGTTACTTCTTTTATTTTTTTATTTATATTCTCCTTCTATTCCAATCCTATTAAGTATTATTTATGGAAATATTCTCCTTTTTTTAATCATACTAAATATTGTTGTTATTTTGATAAACTATTTTATGATAGGTAATTCTCTCAATACTACTCTCTCTCATGTGATGTAGTGTGTCAATTTAGTTGGGCAAAATAGAAATTTTTTTTCCAGCAGTAAAAAAGTTTATTTGTTTGATGCTTGGTTTAATGTTTATTTATGGCCTTTTTGCTTAGAGACTCGAAAAATAATTTTACTTTTTTTTTTTTTGGTTTAGTTGGGAAAAAATGGAGGGAAAATATTCCCATCCCCTTTTTAATTAAAAAAATTTCCTCTTTTTTTTTTTTTTACCAACAATCAAACATAACATTTCTTATAGCTACTTTCTTGATTCAACAAATTTATTAAAGTGAACTTTAATTAAAATATATTAGTCTTATTATACAAAAGAATTAAGAAAGCCTAAAAACTTTTTGAGCGTTGCATCACTTTCTTCCTCAATGCTTAGATCAAATTGGCACTCCAAAATATAAAAAGAATCTATAGAAAGGATTCGGTTCCATCAAATGGCGATCTTTTAAAGAAAAATTGTTTGTTTGCTTGCTTTTTGTGTCTTAAAAAAATTATTTACCAGAAAAAAATTGTTAAAATTTATTATCAATTCATCATTGGCCAGAATGATCTCTTGTCATTAAAATATTAGTAATTATTAATTAATTTAATGATCACTCACTTAAAAAAATTAAGATTCAAAACGTCCAAAAAATAAGATCAAATTCAACAGTTAAAATAACGGATTTTAATTTAAATCCAAAATAACTAGATGCAATTGCCTGATTTAAATATACTGTCGTATAGTAATTATTGGTAAAAATATTAACTTTCCTTTAAGAATCCTAAAGTGATATGATTATTATTTTTTATTTTTTCGGTGAAAAATTGTTATCTCTGCTATTTACTTGTTTTTGGTTAAAGAAAAAAAAGGAAAGCAAGCAAAGGCCATGGGAATCTACAACTCGTTGAGTCAAGGTCCGAGTCATCCGAGTTGAACATTATAAGTCCTTCTTTTCTCTCCAAAGCTCGGTATCGCTCTCGCTCTGCTCAGCCACTCGACCTCTTTTCTCTCTCAAATCAAAACTCACCCCTATTACGAATTCCATCTCTCCCAAATTACCCGCCAAAACCTATATATAATTTTACTCCTTCCTTATTCCTTCCCTTTTTTTCTTTTTCAAATCTTTCCCCCTCCTCCGTTTTCCCTCCACCATCCCGCTCTCTCTCTCCTCTGTAGGGTTTCTTCCCCATCTCTATCTCTCTCCCCTTCATCTCGCTCTTCACGGCCTTGCTTCTCGATTTCGCTTCTTGGATTTAAGTGTTGGTCATGGAATTGGCGATGGTTGCTGAGGGAACGGAGCCGCCGGAGGAGACGCAATCCGAGGGCTTGCCGGTGAAAAGGGCGATTGAGAATGGTGGGAGTGAGGAATTGGCCAAGAAGCCTAAGGTTGAAGCAGCGGCGGCTGCGGCTGCGGCTGCTGCGTCTAGCGGGGAGTTGAAGAGAGTGGCGGAGCTTGTGCTGGTTTTGTCGACGATGTCGGCAATGCGAGGCGGGAAGAAGCCCACTAATGTGGAGATTGAGTTGATGAAGGAGGCGAGGATGAAGTTGGTGGAGTTGTGTCAAGGGATGGCCCCCAAGGATATTGTGGCAAGGGAAGCTGTGGGGACTGTGATTGAGGATCTTGGATTGAACGGGAAGATTAAAGACCAGGGATTAGGGTTTCAAACTCCAAAGATGTCTATAACCGAAAGGTTCTCACTCTCCAAGTTGAAGGTAAGTTCTCAACCTGAAAGATTACTCTTGTTTAATGCAGGCTGATGTTTGTCAATCTTCTATTGTGTCATTTTGAAGCTAAATTGTGGAACTTATTTCAATTCGACAAAACTGAAAGACAATTTTTCTTAATGTGAGATGTATAATTTAAAAATTTTAAATCTTGTTTCTCTCGATTTATATGCTGCGTTGCTAGGTGCCCGTGTGAGAGTGTGAGAGTGGCGCTTCCGTTCTCACTGTGTTTTTTTTTTTTCATGATTTTTCTCTTTTGTTCTCTTATAAATTGTATCTTTTTGTTTCCCAGATGGAAGAATCAAAGAAGTTTCATGAACATTCTGCTCCATCTACTTCTCAGCCATTGCAAACAAGCATGGGTAGTGGAATGGTTGAAAACCGTATGCCATCTCATACTGTTCGAATGTTTCCTTCGGACAAGTCAAGCCACACAGGAGTCTCGTCTTCTGGTACCATAACTTCTCCTCACGTGACTCATGTTCCTGCTGGATCTTCTTCTGGTTTGCACTATCAGTCAACTACTACTGAAGTAAAATCACCTATAGTTTCTGGCGGAATGCCTAGCAGTCACTTGGGCAGAAATTCATCTTCATCAGCATTGCCTAAAGTTGAACAACCACAGTTCAAAGTTGATGGAGGATCAAGTGGGCCTTATTTGATGCATGCTCAAGGTAATATCCCTTGAAATTCCATCGAACTTCCTCACTTTTTCCATGAAATGAGGGGGGCTACTTTTTCTTTTAAAGAATGTCTAATTTATGATTCTTTATTTTCATTGCAATATGCATAGACGGGAGAGCATGTAGACTTGGATTTTGGATTTTCCTTTTATATGTTGTGAACTGGTTATCTTTTGCAAAAGTCTAACCAGCCCCTTCAAAAAACATGAATATGCTGCTTAGTTAGTTTGATATAATCTACCTTAGATGGCTTTCCTGGTTGCGTTGAAATATTAAAAAAGCATCGTCTATGCTAAAGCACCTTTAAGAACTGTCAAGTAAGCATCTTTAAGCATCTTCAAGCATCTTCTCTCTTCCGTTGTACTATTATTTGCCTTTTCAGTTTGTATTTTATTTGTTCATGGGTGAATGTTTTGGAAGCTTTAATTTATGTTACATCTGGCCATTGACCTTTATTTTTGCTTGTAATATCCTTTATTTCTTTACCTGAAAAATTGGTAGCCTGCTCCTTTTTTTTTTTTTTTTTAATCTTAAAATTTGTGTGCATTGTCGCCTTTCAACTATGGAATTGGGTTCTGAAATTAATCTTAAAATTTGTGTGCATTGTCGCCTTCCAACTATGGAATTGGGTTCTGAACGTTGATAAATTTTAAAATGCAGCAAATTCTTCAAACCAACCGTTGATGAATGCTCCAACATGGTCAATACAAACTCAAACTCAATCTGGCTCATTAGCTAGGAGTACACCAGAAAACAAAGTGACTGGACATAACCCTGTCAAGGTTGAGGGAATGGGTGACCTAACTGGGCCCAGGGCTGCTTCACAAATAGCTAGGGATCAGGGCTATAGACCCATAGTAACTCAAACATCCCCTGGAAATTTGTCTAGCTTGCACCAACCATTGCAGGGCATGAACATTGTTCAGCCTTCTTCACTTCCTAATAATCACACTGAAATTGCAAGGATTGTCCAGAGACTGTTACAACCAAAGCTGCCTGAGCATCCCACATGGACTCCTCCATCAAGGGATTATATGAATAAGGCATTTACTTGCCAAATGTGTGATCTCACTGTCAATGAAGTGGATACTGTGCTTCTTTGTGACGCTTGTGAAAAAGGGTTTCATTTGAAGTGTTTGCAGCCATCACTTTTAAGAGGAATTCCTAGAGGTGAGTGGCATTGCATGAGGTGCTTGACATTAAGCGGTGGAAAGCCTTTGCCTCCAAAATATGGTCGCGTGATGAGGTCCGCAAACACCCCACCAAAAGTGCCCTCTAATGCAGTTGGAGTCCAACCATCGTTAGAGAAGAAAACTGGAGTTGTAGCTCCAAAGGTCAGCTCACAGGAGTTAACAACAAATGGAGGCTCTGTGTCAACTGATGCCACTGGTAACAATAAAAATGTTGAGCTTCCATCTGTCTCAAAGGTCCCTGATGCAAAAGAAATTCAGGATAACACTCATTCATCAAGCAGCAAACACATGGATGAGAAGCCTGACCCAAATATCTCAATAAAATCCCTTAATGCAGCTTCTAGTCCTGCTGTTGGCATGCCAGGTGAAAGTTCTGCTGAACAAATAATTTCTGAGCCATCCACCTCTAAAGAGAGAACCTTTGCCTCAGAATCAGAAGTGCTTCCTCAATTAACTGAGTCAGTTAAACCTGACAATTTGCAAATGTCAAAAGCTGTACAAGTTGAACTGACATCACTACCAAACAATGTTGACGTTTTGTCATATAAACATGTTGAAAATAATTTGACAGGTAATAACAGAAAGGAATCTCATGGGGGAGAAAGTTTGACATATGATATCAAACGTGATGACCAATATGTTGCACTAGCAAATTCTGATAAAAGTTCTGGAACACATGGTGAAGGGAGACAATGCACTGCATTATATTCCGATGGCTTACATGCAGTAGAATGGGTTGGTGATCTTGTGCAACTTGTTGATGAGAAAAGGTTTTACCAATCATGCCAAGTTAATGGAGTTACATATAGGCTGCAGGATCATGCTCTTTTTAAATCCAGTCATGGCAAGCTAATTCCATCTAAACTGCAGGTAAGCGAATTGTTAGTATAACTGTAATCATGCAATTAATTTTATATGTTGAAGTTTACCCAAGAACATGATATGCAAATGAATTAGAGGACATTTTATGTCTTAGCAATACACTCTTTTCTCTCGGGATTTGATTTATGTTTTCAATCTGAAAGCTTTTCCCCCCATTTTTATTGCAGTCTATGTTTGAAGATAGCAAAACTGGATTGAAGTGGGTAAATGTGACAAAGTGCTACTTTCCTGGTGATTTACCAGGGAATATCCCTCATCCATGTATATCTGAAGTCAATGAGGTAATTTATTTATTGTTTTTTATCCTTTACATTTCTCTCTCTTGAGAGTGATGCTCATGCATGTGTTTGTGGGAAATTGTGGAGTTAAGCCATCATTGTTTTGCCTTTTGGGTCATGCATGGACTTATACCCCATAAGCTCTGTATTGGTTTAAAGCTTTAACTTCTTTGTGATCAGTTTCTGCTCCACCAAATGATAACTCCCACATCTTGGACATATGGACTTATACCCCATAAGCTCTGTATTGGTTTAAAGCTTAAACTTCTTTGTGATCAGTTTCTGCTCCACCAAATGATACATTTTGCATTCTCTTTCCTGAAGGTTTATGAATCTAATAGTGATAGAACTGAAATGGCTGGATCCATTCAAGGTCCCTGTGAAGTCCTCCCGTCTTTTAAATTTCAACAAGAAAACAATAGACGAAGGGGGTTAGAACCTGAGGAAAGTGCTAGACTTCGGCCCATTTTCCTATGCAGGTTTGATTCTAAATTTCTCTATCATTCGAAACAGCTTTATTTCGTTTTATATCCAATTTAGAAAGTTTATCAGTTTTCTGATTCATTCAGGTAGTAACAAGCAGGGAATATTTATTGCACTTGATTGTGAAAGCATTAGTTAATTTGATTCAGTTCAGAACGGAGATTTTGGTGAATTGGGAAACAAATTCATATTTATTGCCATATCTCCCGTGAAAGTTTTCAAAATGAATCAGAAGAAGCGCCACCCCCCAACCAAAAAAAAAAAAAAAAAAGCACATGCGCCATATGTTCCATGAAACTTGAACCTTTGGTCTGCAAAGTTCAGTGATCTTGCGCATTCAAACAAGCACCAGAAAACCATGATGCTTTGACGCAATTTGCTTTTGAATTGTATAATGATTTTTGTCCATATGATTTGTTGAACTTGTTTTATTCCTAATTCCTTGTTTCACTGCATAGTGCACCCAAATCTGCGTTTCATATGTGACCATTGTCAGTCTCCAAAGGTCCTGGGATGGCATTGATTGCTAAACTTACTAAAATTCTTCCTCTTTGTAACCATGTTTTCCCTTTTTTGTGTGTGTGAATTACATTTCTCCCTTGCACATATTGTGGACATAAAGGGATACTGTTAGTGTTGAAAACCCAGGGCTGTTTTGCTCATCCTGTAAATAATCAAGACAGTTTTGACTCTAATTCATGGGGCTGATTCTTGCTTGTATTTTTAACAGTGAAAATTGTAGTTTGTCCTGGATAATCTTTGACTTGACGTCTGTTTTGTTTTCTAGATGGTTCTATGATGGAGTCAAAAAATTATTTCAGCCTGTTACCAGTTGATGCTGTCCTACGCACCATGATTTTCCTGCACTTGGCTGTTCCAGGTGATTATTCGATCCTGCATTTGTTAATTTTTCTTCCTCTTCTCATTTATCTGCTCATGAGACTTGCCCTTCTTTTGCCATGTTTATAGAAAAGCCCTTGAATACAAAAATTGTGAGAACTTCTTTCTCATTTTGCTTAAAGGCGTTGTTTTCTCCCCCCCTGATCATGCATGTCTGTTGGGTGATGGGTCAAATAGAAATTATTTTATCCTGCAAGGATGTTTCGTGTTTCCTCTCATTTTCAACCTATTTTTTGAGATGGATCGTGACGCCTAGGCCATTTGGGACTGCTAATGATATTTGCTGAAAGGTAGAATTGTAAACGTTTGATAAATATTATTAACATGTTTGGCAAATCTTTCAAAGGAAGTGCTTCTTCCATGTCAAATTACTAAAAGGGCTTGTATGTGAAAGGTTAGAGGTAATTGATGTAATTTATGTTTTGGGTGGGTTTTCTTATATATGTGTCTATATATGTGTGCGCACGTATATTTTGCTTCTGTTTATTTTTCGAAGTTACAATGTCTGATTCTCTCACAGCAGAGAACTGTTTTTGCTACCTCTAAGAAGTGTTTTTCCCCCGCTTTCTTTTTTTTTTTTTTTTTAATCCCTGCAGTTTTAGAGTATCCAGCTGCATTCCTGCTGAAGCATGATGCCTGGATAATTGAGGATTTAATACAATATAAAACAACATATTGAAAAGTGTGGGGTCCATTTTTACTGTTCTAATCCATATGATGGGGTGGCAGACCAGAATTTATCCATACAAAAGACTTATTGAGCATTGCATTTAGATTCGCAGGGACAAGAAGTTGTTTGCACCGCAGAATGAGCCCCCTTTGGGCTTTTCCTAGAGAAGTTGAACAGAACAAGAACACTTTCCTCTCTTCTTTTGCTAAAAGAATCTTTCTGCTCTTTGATTTCCTCAATGCCATATCCCAGAACTCTAGGTCTAGCTTTCATTTGATTGGTTGGGAAGGGATCCTATAATTCTGGCAATTTCCATGTCCTGGTTGATATTTTTGGTTAGCTGCAACGTTATAACTGACAATGGTGTCAGCTCTTGTTTTTCCTGGGTATACTTCTTGGTCGTAACACAGCTTTTGTGTCCATGCAGGTTTGTAGCTTTCAGACACTAGACGAGTTCGAGTCTGTTTGATGTAAAATATGTAGGTGAAGCTGTGACTTGGTTTAGTTTTTGCTTATGATAGTTATTTGTATTTTCTGATTCTTTTTGGGTCTTTAGGTGCATTAGGCCCACTAATAACATTATCAGGATATCATGGAACAAATAAATTATCCATGTTGTATTGTAGTCTGCTTAGGATGCTGGAAATGTAAAATGTTTCCTTTGTATACAGCCGTCTTCTTTTTGTGTAAAATTAACCGCTTGAAGCCATTTCTTCTAGGAACCATAGTCGGGGGGGATTGTTCTGTTTCTTCATTGATTTGTCAATAAAAATATTACTTGCTAGCAGAGCTTAATAGCCATGAGTGATTAGATTAAGCGTTGGATGTTTGTGTTCATTTTCTCTTCCTTGAAGACCAACCAAAAACCGAGAAGAAAAAGTGCAAAAAAATGCAGATTAAAACACAGAATGACGGAAACAATCTTTAGCTGGACGTCTTGGCTCTTCAAGACTCTTCATTCACTGAAGATAATAATTATGATATCATCTTCTCATCTCTTATCTTCTTCATATGCCATTGTCGATGTCAATGGACCCTTGAAAAGCCAAGGGGATTAAATATCTCCTACCAAACTACATGAGTGCCACTGACGGCTTTTTTTTTTTTTTTTTTTTTGGGGCGCCCCTCAATTTTTTTGAAAGTTTTCAAGTCTGAATCTTTTAAAAGCAGAACATGACTTGAAGCTTATTAATGATCTAATGATAAAAAAATAAAATTTAGCATATTATAAACAGGTACCTGTTTTGTGAGTGCTTGCACTAAAGTTATCCTTAAATTTTTTCTGCATTCTATCAACCAGCCACTGGAATTTGCTTCTCGTTCTTGTACCACTTGTCCGATGGGATCCCCAGTATCTACCCAATTCTAATGTTTTGCTGAAACCCATCTCTTCTAATGAATCTCCTTTCATCATCCATCACGTTTCTAGAGGACAACACACTTGTCTTCTGTCCAGAAATGCTGCCAAACTTGCCAATCACCTGTAGCACAACTTATAGAGGTATTCACATATCCTTGAGTCAACAATAATCAACAATAAGATTAGGTGACTTGGGTCTTAAAAGCTCATTTAGTCTAGGCCTCAAAGCTTGAAATAGTGCCAATCATGTTTTTGTTTACTGGACTAATCTTCGTTGATAGTGTTCATATCTTAATTTCTTGTACATAATTTAAATAAAAAAAAGAGAGAGAGAGAGTCTATTCACAATTTTCATTTAAAAATCCTGGTTTAATCAACATATTTCTACTTATCAAAGTTAAATATATCAAACCGACTCAAAGAAAATTAAGAATATGAAAAGAATAGAAATGAATGAGAAAAAGAGGGAAAAACAGAACTCTACACATTTACTTTGACTGACTGTAGTATTGGAGGATTCCAAAACCTTCTTTCCATCTGTTATATATGAAATTTCCATGATCAGAGACAATATGTTCATCTCCATGCGACAATCGACACTGGAATTTGGCATATTTTGCGTGTGCGTGTGAGAGAGAAAGATGTGGCACATATTTGTAAAAGCAAATATATTTTTTTTTGCTAAGCAGTTCGAGATACTATCATACACTAAATAAGAACATCTCTCTCTCAGTGAAGGTTTAAACTTTAGTTCATTATCTTGTGAGAAACTAAACGTAGCTTCGTTGGTTAATGTTATTGCTTTTTGAATCTATTGCATGGGCATATAGCGAGGAAGGCGGGAGGTCTGATAATAAAGAGCCAAATTAAAGGTCAAAAGTCAAACCAAAAAGAATAACATTCCCAATCAGATACACTTTTGTACTAACTTGAATGGGATCGAGATCCACAACAAATCAACAGAAAGAAAATTAAAAGCCGACAAAGATTGAAAATAACTGTTTAACTACCACACATCTTTTTGACCGTCCCACTACATTCTGCAGATGCCGTCAACAAATGTTCTTGAATCAAACGCTCTGCGATATTATAATATATATTACCTTCGGTCCTAATTATAAGAGTCAGTTGACTAATTTGATGAAATTAAGAAGTAAGTTGAGTTAGTTATTTGTCCTAAATAGGCGTTGTCTTTCCTAAAATATCCTTACTAATCAAGTGTATTGACTAAAACTATCACTATTAGAAGGGCTACTTTGAAAAAAAGTGTATAAATATGAGAGATAAAGTGGATTGGGAGTCTTATATTTAGGACCAAAATAAAAGTCAAACAGAGTCTTATATTAAGGACCGGAGGTAATATATATTAATAAAATATAATATTGATAATATGGTTCTATATAACACACAGAGTTAATAGAAAGCCTTGTTTCATGTGAACAGGCGATCATCACGCGGCTGTGACTTTGAAAGAGCCTCAATAAAGCAATGCATTTAGATGTACATAAACGATAAAGTGTTTGAAGAGAGATATAATCACAACAGAAAGTAAAAATAAGTGTGAGACATGACTAGGTTTTTCTCCCCCATGTTTTTTAACTTGGTGCATGAGATCCATGGACGCATGGGGATGGATCGGTCAGTAGAATTCTAAAGGTTCCAGGTTTAGACTTAAAATTCTGCAATCGTACTACCTCCAGTCCTTAATATAAAACCCTATTTGATTTTTATTTTGATCCTAAATATAAGACCTCAATCCACTTTATCTTTCATATTTATGTATTTTTTTTCAAGATAGTCCTTCTAATAATTGTAGTCCTAGCCAATATAGTTGATTAGTAGGGATATTTTAGGAAAATCAGTATATATTTATTACAAATAACTAACTTAACTTTTTTCCTTAGTCCCCTCAAATTAGTCAACTGGGTCTTATAATTAGGATTGGAGGGAGTGCTATATAAACCTCTCTTGGGATGAGGTATTCTAGTTATTATTACTGATACTGATTTCAAAGAGGGAAAAAAAGGAAAAAAAAAACAAAGAAAGGAAAAGAAGGGAAAGGTAAATGATAGAAAGAAAAGATAAATAATGGGAAAATGAGGTTGCAGCAAAATGTGCATGTCTGGTGAGTTGGGTACAGAAAGAACCTTGATTTTTGGGGGATGACTCCATTAATAATCATAATACACTTTGACTCTTAATTATATCTGATAATAAAGAAAATATAATAAATATCATATTCCACCATAAAATATTAGAAAGTATGTAAAAGTTGCTCATTAGTGGGAACTCAAATTAAGGTAAAGTTTTATCCCTAACAATAGTATTGACCATAACCTAAGGGAGTAATTTTCCAAGAATGCTCGTCGTATACATCCTTCTGATCGAAGTTTCTGAAACAGATCGATCATAACTAACATTTCTAAAATCACAAAACTTTCAGTTAGCTAGTCCAGCTTTTTTTAAACTATATTTGTCATCAGGACCAATTAATACAGACATATATTCATCGATTTCTTAAACAGAATAACTTGCTGAAAGGTCCCATCTTGCAATTGGTTTCCACAAAGATGTAAAACTTTCGGTTAGCCCAACTTTTAGAAACCCTGTTCCCAACTCTTGTATGTAACCGAATCCTTTTTCTTTCAGCTTATTCTAGTTTCTTGCTTCTTTTTTCTCGGCCTATAGCTAGATATATAGCTGCAGAAGCTACATATATATATATATAGAGAGAGAGAGAGAGGGAGAGAGAGAGAGAGGGAGGGAGAGAGAGAGAGAGAAGCAGACATCGCCTTCTGCTTTTGTCGTTATATATTTAAGTCTTTCTGTGTCATTTGGGCAGCTTAAGCCACCTTCAATGGCGCCTGCAAAGGGAGACAATAATGTTGCAGTAGTGCCAAGTATGAACTTGGAGAGATTGCTTAGCATGAAAGGTGGCAAAGGAGAAGCTAGCTATGCCAACAATTCTCAAGCTCAGGTGATTATTTCTTTACTGGCTTTCTTAACCAAAGGTTTAGTTCTTGATCAAAGAACATAATAGCGTTGAACGATTCATGTAGCTGACCCTATTTAATGGAATATGATCTTTTTTTTTTTTTTTTAAAGCTTATCTATGATTTTTGCAGGCCATACATGCTAGGTCTGTGCTTCATCTTCTCAAAGAAACCCTAGACACAGTTGAGCTTGAAGATAACCCTAATATTCCGTTTACAGTTGTGGATTTGGGATGTTCATGTGGAAGGAACACCATTGATACGGTGGACATTATCATCAAGCACTTCATCAAGCGGTACCAGGACTTAGGGTTTGTGCCACCTGAGTTTTCTGCTTTCTTCTCTGATCTTCCAAGCAATGATTTCAATACCCTCTTCCAGTTGTTTCCTCCTTTGTTGATCAACTATGGCGGCGGCGTTGGCAGTGAAGAGTGCCTTGTCGCCGACAACCACCGCACTTACTTTGTTGCCGGAGTCCCCGGCTCATTTTACCGGAGGCTTTTCCCGGCAAGGTCCATCAATTTCTTTCATTCAGCATTTTCACTACATTGGATATCTCAGGTTGGTCAGTTAATATCCAATAATATCTTTGATTCTTCATTATCTATCATTGGTCGGTCAAATTTAGTAAAATTACCACACATCATGCGAATTTTCTAGGATTGGCTTTATCGATTCTTTCTAAGATTTCTTTTCCCTGTTTGATTAGAACCCATACTTTAAGGAACCATGCACCGCATTCAATCTTTTCCTGATTGACTAACAGGTTCCTGGAAATACGACTTTCATTTTAAGCATCATTTCTTCTTTCGATGACTTTTCTTACAGTAGAACCTTTTAAACAATCAAAGAATTTCTTATAATGCTATTTATAAGTCACTTTTAGCGTATTTTATTATTAAAATTAAGAAAAGTATTCATATTTAATATATAAACTTTTAGGAGAATTACAATGAGATCCGAACAAAAAAAAATTTATAAAACAAGTTTTAGAAGTTGTTATTTTTTACTTTAGCACTTGTTATTATATACTACTTTAGTTGTTATTAGAACTTTTTAGTAATTATTTTTTTCTTAAAACCTCATTATAATTCTCCCTAAACTTTTAAAGAAAATAATAGTTTATACAATAATAAATGAATGATAAAATTGTATATTCATATAAAAAAAATCTAATAATGTAACTTGGAATTAAAAAAATTCTTCCTCTAACTTATGAATAAAAAATTCTCCCTCTCCTTAAATAAAATCAAGAGATCATCAAACTTGACATAATAATACCAAATATCATATGTATGTGTATCTATTAAAAAAAACAAAGAAAGAATGAAACATCCATGCCACTAATTCAAAAAAAAAAAGAAGAAGGGAACAATGAAGTCCCAAAATTCAAATGGATAAACCCATAATATGATGATGAGGTTAAAGAGAAACAAAGTTAATTAATTAATGCCATATATATAGATATATATATATATATATATATATATCGTCAAATTCAAAAGCATGCATGGTCTCTCATCTCAATGGTTGAACCTTAGTTCAGACAGATGTTGACCTATATCTGAACACTACTTTTCTAAAACATGCATAGCAACAACCACATACTGTTCACGATCATGCATATATTTTAACATAAACATTAACTGTGGGGCCGGCTTGATTAATTAATTAATTAACCAGAAAGAATGAAATAAACTAAGAACTGGTTCTTTTCTTGTTTGAAAAATTGATTGGGAATATGAATGGCAGATACCAGAGAGTGTGATGGAGAAGAGAGGAAGAGAATATAACAAAGGAAAAGTGTTCATACATGGAGCCACTGAGAGCACTGCCAACGCATACAAGAAACAGTTTCAGTCCGACTTTGCTGCCTTTCTCAAATGCCGCTCCGTTGAGATCAAGAAAGGCGGGTCCGTGTTCTTGGTCTTCTTGGGTCGGACCTCACCCGACCCCACTGACCAGGGTGGACCCGGCCTCCTCTTTGGAACCCACTTTCAGGACGCCTGGGAAGATCTTGTTCAAGAGGTATGCACATTCATATATACTGATTGCTATTATTCAAACTGATCATTTTCTATTTAAAAGACTATTAAAATTAATTTTTTTTCCTTTGTTGGTTTATGAAAATATATTTTCTAGTCTCGTTTTTAATTTTTAAACTATTTTAACCAAAAATTTTAATTTTTAGACTAGAATAATATTTTTTGGCCAAGAAAACAAACTAAAATAATATTTAATTATTAATCTAAATGCATTAAACCAACGAATATATACGTTCATATATTTAATCTATTCCTGGATCTAATAGTTTCTTAATTTTAGGTACGCGATTTGACTCTCAGTAGATTTTTTTTATCACTAAATTCACTTTCCTCGTACGTAAGTTACTAGAAATAATCTTATAAATTAATCATATAAAAACATGTGGATAGCTAGTATAAATTTCCCTTAACTAATGAATTTGTAAAATTAAATATTTTATAACTATATACTAAAATAATAAACAGTGGAAAATGATGTAAGCAAATTCTTTCTCATATTGATTTGTTTCATTTCTCTCTTCAATTAATTAAATTATAGTGAATTATGAATGATTTTGAGGGCAGGGATTAATCAGTAGTGAAAAACGAGACGACTTCAATATTCCTCTGTACGCATCGAGCTTACAAGACTTGAAGGAGGTGATTGAAGCCGACGGCTCATTTGTGATCAACAAGCTTGAGCTGTTTAAAGGAGGAAGCCCTCTTGTGGTGAGCCGCCCTGACGACGAAGCCGAAGTTGGCCGAGCCTTAGCCAACAGCTGCCGTACTGTGTCCGGCGTCCTTGTGGAGGCTCACATCGGCGAGCACCTCAGCAACGAGCTGTTCTCCAGGGTGGCGCTCCGAGCCACGAGGCAGGGCAAACGGCTCTTGGACCAAATTCAGTTCTTTCATATTGTAGCGTCCCTTTCCCTCGCTTAATCAGAATTGTTAGGTACGGTGGTTTAATGTAAACCCACACAACACACAAATTATGTGTAAACATGTTACGTATAGCAAAATTTATTACATATTGGTGATAAATGTATATGTGTATATATATTTATTTGTGTAGTTTAATTTCTGTTTCCATATATAAATTAAATCCGTTTTCCATACACGCACAGTCGCACATATTGTCATGTACAAAAGGTGACGTCAATATATATAAAATTTAATATCATTTTTTAATATTGCAATATTTACAATAATATATGCTTTTTATTATACCACACAGATGTTAAAATAAGCCTGTAAGCCTCATAAATTGTGTTTTATTTTTATATATAGTTTCATTTGATGAATGTGGTGTGAAGTTGTGAGTGAAACGGCGCGTTTCATATTAGATTGTAGTACCAGCTAGCTAGATATGTTTAGGAAGACAATATTTTGATTTCGCATTTATATTTGGTTTGTATTGTGTTTTTTCCTCTCATCATCACCTTTTCTTCTACTTTTTTTTTGCGTCCCATTATGTTTTTATTATGTTTTAATCAACTTCCGTGCAAATTGCGTATGTGCTAGCATGTAGTTGGATTAATAATAGAAATGCCATATGATTCATATCTTGATTTTCTCTCTTCATACATAATAAATATTGGATAAGCTAATAAGTAAAAGTGTATCGTCTTAAATGATTACAATATTATTGTTAAAATTATTGCCTAAAACTGTTAGAAAATTAATATAACGGCTAGAATATTGTTGGCTGAAAAGGTCCTGCTGATCCTTTTTGCGACGAGTCTTATTATGAGTTTAGTTAGTTGCAATAAAAGTTTGAAGTAATTAAAAGAACTTTAATAATCTTTTAAAGGCACTAATTAAACAAGCTACATATATTGCCAAAATGATTTTATTGATGATTATAAACTCATGGGGATCTCAATGAACCCAAACAAGGTACAGAATTGATTCATCACTATTCATATTGAAATTAACTAACTGTTGAAACTAATAAAGAGGAAATTGCTCAAAGTCAGTGTTATTGTTTGAGATTTCATTTCAATGCTGTGGGGAATGGAGAATGATGATATCAGAAGCTTCTGGAAGTCTGAAACTCACCTTCCTCTCCCTGCTTATAATTCTTCTGCTTTTAGTGAACGAATATAACCCCACTTCCACTTCTTCTTCAGTATCCTTCTTCTCTCTCATCATCAGAAGTTTCTCCAACGACGAACTCAACTCCCTGCTTGATTCACTGTAACTAAACTCGCTAATGTTCAGAAGCTCTTCCAATGAAACTCCACTACTACTGTACTGCCCAGAAAATGAAACACCACTGCAACTTTCATCCTTAAGCTTAGAACCACCACCATTATCATTATGATTCTTGCAGATTCTCTTGTTTCCTACTGATGGTGATTTGGCAAACCACTCCTCTAATGAGATGTCCTTTGAAATTGAATCCGCCATTATCAGTGGTTCTTGATGATGATGATGACGATGTCGCCTCCGATCTTTCTTCTTCTTCGTCTTCTTCTTCTTCTTTCTCCATGAGCAGTTGGTCTTCATATTCATATTTAGGACGAACTTTGGCAAGAAACTGGGCTTTTTCCCTTCATGATGAGGAGGCAAACTTTCTGGACTAGAACAAGGATCCGAAGAACAGAATGACAGCTTATTAAGTATTGTCATTATTAATTATTATTAGGTTAATAATATATGGAGAGAAGAAGACGAAGGAAGACAAAGTGTGGCGTCCACTTGAATGCTGATGAGATGGAGGCTATATATATATATATTTATAAAGGAAAGTAAGGACGTGTTTTCCAACAACTAAAAACATATATACATTTGGTTCTGTTTTACATATATACCTTAGTTAGCATCAACCTGCAACTAAGTCTAAGAAAGAATATTTACTCCATCGAATGCATCTTCAATTATGATATATATGAATGTCTATTTTAATATATGTGTTGTTGAATATTTTGGGGGTCTAGTACACAATATAATGAAACAATTTGAAAGCTACTAATGCATAATCCCTTCACGAGAATAACTTTAAACGATATGGACGAGGACGAAATTAACTAACATTTGATGTAGATTGATGAAAACTAAATAACTTGTTAGCTTGGCTTTCGCTCATATATTGGGTAGGAAGTAGAAACAAGTGGACAAGATTCTGGCATTTCAGGTTGGCGGCGAAGACGACGATGGTGTGTGTGTGTGTGTACGCACACTATAGGCCACATATTTTAGATTGGCGTTGAAGACAATGATAGGAGAAACACGATATGTTCAGCTAATTAGCGTAACTATTTGCCTTGGTTGCATCTACGTACGAAGCAATCACGTATGAAACCTATGTACACATGCACTTGTTAAAGAGTAGTTGTCCCAACCCCGTCACGTTTAAATGTGATGATAATTACATGTTTGTGTGCGTGCGTGCATTTAATCATATTAAATTAACAAAACAAAAAATACACACACACACACGAGTGTGTAGAAGCTGAAAAAAAAGGCTACCTAGGATTTATGTAATTGAGAGCTAAGAAAAACTTATATACTCAGGCTCAGGGTGCCTATTTTCAATCAAATCAATGCGGGTGAATTTTTATATAGTACTCCCTCGTTCTATGTATAAACTTCACTTTTGGAGATGAGTCTGGTTCAAAATATAAGTTTTTTTTTAAAGTTTGTCCGAGTATTTATTACTTTTTTTTTTCTATTTTTCCTTTAGTTGACTAAATTTAATACTCTCTTTCTCTAATTAATACTATCTTCATATATTCTCTTTTATCATTTTTTTTCATTTATTACCTCTCATTTACTCCCTCAATAAATAAGGGCAAATTTTTAAAAAAATATTTTGACATTTTCTTTTATTTTTAACTAATTTTAACTACTGGTTCGTTAAACATTATTTAGTTATTTGAAGCTTATATATAGGACTCCTGCTATTAATGTTATTAACACTTTAAAGTCTACTTATTTTAATTTGATTGGATATAAATATATTAAGTATATGAGGATTAGTACGTAAGTCTTGTTCAAAATAGCTATATAAAGATATTATGAATTAATGGTATTACGATGATGGTGTTGGGGAGAATGCAAGAGTTGTATTTTAGAAAGGCCAAGGAGTAACTAGCTTGAACAAGATAACTAAGATTGGCTCGTATAAAATAGCATCTAACAACCAACCTTAATTGAGCTGAGTAATACCATACTAAGTTAGCTTTTAAATTCTAGGCTTTGAAGATATAAAATATTTATGTTGGGATATTTTTTTGCCCCAAAATTAAAATCCTATCCCTTTCGAATCTGAAATCAAACAGTATTGGATATCAAATAGTGGAACTTTTCAGGAATGGGATGTCCCTGAAGCTGTAGATCTCCTTGGAACCGACCAACAAAGTTTCTTTATTCATTAACGAGGCACCTCATTATTCTTCGCCCAAAACCTCAAAGATAACTGGAAAACGGGTTTACTTTTTTTCTTTTTTCAAAGAAGAAAAAAGAGAAAAGAAGTTAAAAAAAATCTATAATATACTACTTCCGATCTTTAATATAAGACTTTGTTTGACTTTTATTTTGATCCTAAATATAAGACCCCAATTCATTTTGTCTCATATTTATGTATTTTTTTTTTTCCAAAACAGTCTTTCTGACAATGATAGTTCTAGCCGATACATTTGATTAGCAAGGATATTTTAGAAAAGACAACACTATTTATTATAAATAACTAACTTAACTTCTTTTTTTAATCTCTTTAAATTAGTTAATTAGCTTTTATAATTAGGACAAGAGGTAGTAATAATTTGGGAAACATGGACAGAAATTTAAAAAAATTTTGTGACACGAAACTTGCAAGTTTCTATGCAAGGAGCCTCATTCACAGTGAACAAGAATTTGGTCGTTAAATTTATTGGAGTTTGACTGCTACACGCTCCAATATTCTAATTCTCAAGAGCGCATCACTTTGCACGCAACTTCCTTCGCATTTAACAAGAACAATTATTGGACGCCTCATACTGTTAACCACTTGAGCAAAGTTGTATAAGCAGATTTTACATCCAGCCTTTTTTATATATTTATATACTCCTCCGATCCTTAATATAAGAACCATTTAACTAATTTGATTAGATTAAGGAAGTTAAATAAGTTAGTTAATTATAAAAAAAAGTGACATATTTTTCTTAAAATACCATGATCATCTTTCTTAATACCCCATCTCCTTCTTCTATTTGATTATGGTTGAAGGAGTATCCATAGAGGTAATTTAGAGAAAATTGATAAATATGAAAAATAGGTCTTACATTTAGAACCAAAACCAACTCAAGAATTAGATCCTATATTAAGGACAGAAGGAGTATAATTTCATCAGTCGGAGTAGCACCTTTCCGTATACGGAAAATATTTGAAATTGATGCCCTACCCATTTTAATATATACCACTCTTCCTTATTATTTGCCGTTTTTCACGTACCAAGGGCAAAAAGCATCAAATAGATGAAATTTTTTATTTTTGCTCTTATTAACTATTAAGGAGAGTATTAAATGCTTGCATATTCTCTCTCACTCATTCCCTTTCTCTTCATCTTTACTATAATTAATATGAGCACAACTAAAAATAAAGCATTAAAAAGGATACAAGTAACAAATAAAAAGAACTGATCATCTTTTTTTACAAGTAACAAATAACAAGAATCACACTGGTATTGTCAAGCTATTTCGTTCTTGGAATAAAAAATATATCACAATCTAAAATGACGCTAGAGCATCTTCCCATAGCGGAGACTAATGTCTTTCAAGTTCAAGATGTTAAAAATAAAGAACAGACTACATTTGCTTCATGCATAAAAATTGTACATTCATACCAACCTGAGCTACTAAGCATACATTTTAGAAACCCATTGACCGCAATTTGACAGAAATAACATGAATAATCGTCTCGGGAGTTGTTGGCCAACTAAAAAAAAAAAATCGTGCATT